GCTCATGCCTGTAATCCTCTACTCAGGAGTCTGAGATCGGAAGATCAAAAGCTCAAAAGCTTCAGCAAGGCTAAAAAAAATCTCAGCCTGGGTAGAAAAATCAGAGAGATTCTTACTTCCATTTAACCAGCAAAAAGGTAGGAAGTAGAAGTGTGGCTCAAGTGGTAGAGTACTAGCTTTGAGCTGAAAGGTTAAGAAAGAACAAGAGGGCCTGAGTTCAAGCCTCAGTACTGGTGTTTAAAAAAAAATGACAGCTCTCCCCACCAAACCTTAATAGTCTTTCTCATCCCAGATCCCATTAGAAGTCTTATTATAATATTACCAGTGCTTTGACGCTCTTTGTGAAGTACTTTCACATATATTATCTCTTACTTCAGGGTGGCAGCCTTCCTGGAGCATTTGTTGCAAGGGGGATCATCAGGCCACTCAATTTTGAATAATCATTGCTGTGCTCCTGTGTGACTGTGAGAAGGAGCTGAACTATAGATGCAGTTTTGCCTCTAAAGAAATGGTGAAATCCTTTTCTTATTCTTTCTTGTTGAACGTGGGAGATTTAAAAGTAGGATATATACACACATATCCCAGTACTGGGTGTGTCTCAAGTGGTAAAGTACCAGATGAGCAAGCAAATCCATCAAACTGAATGCTCTGGGTTCAAACCTTGAAAAAAAAAAAAGGTTTGCATTAGGCTCCAGCAGAGATTCATGTACTCCTGAAACAGATGTTGCATGATGCAGTACATGCACTCAACAATTGCAACAGCTGCAGGGTACCCATGGCTCATGCCTGTTATCCTAGCTACTCAGGAGGCTGAGATCTGAGGTTCATGGGTGGACAAATCTGGAAGATACTCATCACCAGTTAACCAGCTAAAAGCTGGAAGTGGAGACGTGGCTCAAGTGGTAGAATGCAGAGTGAAAAAGCCAAATAGGAGGGTGAGGCCTTCAGTTCAAGCCCTAGTCCTAGTGTCTTCTTTGCATTTCTAATCTATTGCCTTTCATCTTTAAACTATACTACTCATGCCTCCTAATGATCCATAAAAGAAGTCTGTGTGGGGCAGAGTTTGGTAACCTATCAGCAGTGCCCTGCTGGAGTCCCTCCTGCTTTTGCAAGAAGATGGGGCTCACTTGAGTAAGCTAGCAGGCCCTGTTGCTTAGGGAAGAGCCACTGGGAAGGGTGAAAGACAGAAATGATGGTCAAGGTAGAAGAAATCTGGTTTTGAGAGCACCAGACAATTTTGCACCCTTACCTGTGCTCAAATGGGTTGCTGGCTGCTCTCGGCTTTAGTTTCCTATTTATAAAATCAGAGCTTGTGCACTTCACAGGGCCAGTTGGATACAGGAGAGAGCCTGACATGTGGTAGCATTCCTTAGTCATGGTAGCTAGCGTGTGCGTGTACATATGCGTGTGTATGTGTGTGAGTGCGTGTATGTGTGTGTATGTGTATACTTTAGGGCCTAAACTCTCAAAGCTGGCCCTCCTTTTTGTTTTTTTTTTTTAAGCTGGCATTCTTTGTCACTTGAGCCACAGCTCCACTTTCAGCTTTTCTGTGGCTAACTGGAGATAAGCGTCTCTTGGAATTTCTTGCCTAGGCTGGGTTCGAACCTCAATCCTCAGATCTCAGCTTCCTGAGTAGCTAGGATTACTGGTAGCTGGTAGCTATAGTTACTAACCCAGATGATTCCCATGATAAGGGGGTATTGGACATAAGTGGCTTTTTCCATCTTGTGGGGATATATGCACTTGACTCTACCGCAGGTACCTTGTAAGGACCAGCCAGGTCTCTAAGCCATCCTCAGCTCAGGAAGCAAATAAAATAAAACCCTGCAAAACACAAACCCTTACTGAGCTGCTATAGTCTGGGAAGACAACCTTCCATGGCTCTCGTTTGTCCCTTGGGCAAATAATCTGCTTCTCCATTAGTTTCTTTCCGCCTGTTATTTGAATTCCCCCAGAGGGAACTGACTTTTCTGTGTTCATTTTCCTGCTCTGCTCTAAGTGTCTTTTCCAGGCCATGACTTTCTCTCTCTGTCCTGTTAACCATCTGCCTGGGGGAGATGACACAAGGTCCCTCTCAGGTCTGGTGTGGTTTCCGCTCTACCTCCTGGGCTATGAGGTCCTTGCCCTCCGGGCGCCCTGCACCAGGGAGTCTGGTTGGTTGGCCCCAGGAGGAGGTGGAGCTCTTGCCTAGAAGGGAATGCAGAGTTCAGGAAGTGTGGGATCTGCCCTTCCTCTGTCTACCAGGTTTCAAGACTGCCAGGAACACATCAGAAACGCCCTGGACAGGGCTGTCAAGAGACTGGGAAGCAGCCAGTGTAACACAGGCCCTTGTTTCTCTCTGGTCTTTGAGGATCTCTGCCAAGGGCTCCTCTCAGCATAGGTGCCAAGAGGGGGAACCATCATATTATAACCATCTGCTTGATGCCAGGCACAGAGCACCAGCTGAATCAGTCTTCTAGAGACTCCACAAGGGAAAAGGAACCATCTTGTATTGCTGAGGATGAGGATGAGGCTCAGAGAGATGAGAGAGGATGAAGGCTGCAGCGGATAGTTTGAATCAACCTATCTGCAGAACCTGAGCCCTTTCTGGAACTTTAGGTTGGGCTGCCGCCGCTCTGTGCCTTCTCTGCAAAAGGGACCATTCTCTCAAAGCGACTCCCAGGCCTCCCAGGGCACCTGCCCTGCGACTTTACCATCTTGAAGACCCATTTGTTTTAAGTGGGCAGTTTTTGCTAGTTACACTCAAAACCTTGCGCTGTTGTTTTAAGTGTATTTTGATGGCTCTTCTCACATATAATAAGACATTTTGTTAAAAAATCAGACCAACATTTTGTTAAAAAATGTTCAGTGCCTGCCTGGCATTAGTGGCTCACACCTATAATCCTAGCTATTTAGAGGCTGAGATAGGAGGATTGAGGTTCAAATTCAGCTCAGGGAGACTTTTATCTCCAATTTGCCAACAAAAAGATGGAAGTTGAGGAGCGGTTCAAGTAGTAGAGCACCAGCCTTGATCAAAACAGCTGAGTGAGAGCATGAGGCCCTGAGTTCAAGCCCCAGTATTGGCATGCGTACACACACACACACACACACACACACACACACACACACACGCGCGCGCAGTTCCTGTAGAACATAGAGTGACAGGCAACATTTAGATACAGGTTTCAAGTTTCAATTACAGTTCGGTGATCCATGGGCTGGGAAGTTGGCTCAGTGGTAGAGCGCTTGCCTTGCATGCCTGAGGCCCTGGGTTTGATTCCTCAGCACCACATAAGCAAAAGGAAAAAAGCCAGCAGTGGTGCTGTGGCTCAAGTGGTGGAGCGCTAGCCTTGAGCTGAAGAGCTGAGGGACAGCGCCCAGGCCCAGAGTTCAGGCCCCACGACCGGACTCAAAAAAACAAAAACAAAAAACAAAAAAACAGTTCTGTGATCCAGCTGTTTCTTCTTGCACTTTTGCAAAGAGCAGAGTGAACCAGAACTTCTGGGTCTCCTGGGCATGGAGTCTATCAGTAGACTTGGACTACAGACATTCTCTGCTTCTCCACCGCGACCCCTCCCCTAACTTGAGGCACTGCATGCTGGGTAGCAGGTCTGTAGGCAACCTCATAAGGGAAGGGGACAGATGGAGGTTCTAATGGTGTGTGTGGGGGGTGGCCCTGGGATGAGATGGTGGCTGAACACATGAGAAGCTGGCAGTTGCCAGCCACTGGCACGGAGACAGGTCACTGTGACTCAGCAGGAAGGAGGGCTGTGACCACAGAGGTATCCATTTATATCCAGAGGGAGGGGAGGAGGGGAACGGAGAAGCCGCAGGTCACAGAGGAAAAAGTGGGTGCCCTGTTTCTCTAAGCCTTATGATGTGGCAAAGAATTATTTCCCTTCCTTTCAGAAGCAATAGGAAGCTGGCTTTGAGGGTTGGGATTACAGGCAGGTGACTGATTGTCATAGGTCTGCCCCTTCATTGGATAGTGACCTGGGACAGCTGGAGGGAGTGGGGGTCTTATCACAGCCATAAAGATGGGAGGGAGCTGGCCACTTAGGGCACCATCCACCCTTAGCGTTTTCTTCAGTAAAATGGGCCCTTGAGGAGGGCAGCTTTTGCCTAGTATGTAGGCATTTACTGAAAATGAATACAAATTCTGGCCATACAGAAACTACACTATACAAAAATAAAGGCAGGGCCTGACATGGGAAGTTGCCCACAAGCAAAGTTCCAGAGATCACAAGAAGATCAGACAACAGGCTCCAGTGTGCGTGCGTCTTCTTGCAGCTCCGAGTCCTTCCCTGCCCACCTCTGCCCTCAGGCTCTGGCTGGGCAGCAATGTACCCAACTGGCTTGGATGACTCGGCCCCTTATCTTGTTTCATTTCAAAGTGGAAAAGATGATCCACAGTTGGAAGGCTCAAGTCAGGAACTCAGCCCTTTGCCCCATCAAAGAATCTGAAAGGAGGGCTGGGCAGGAAGAGTTGCTTTAGAGGATGATGCTGGGACCTCCTTGTTTAGGGCCCTTGTTGATGGAGTGGCTGTTTATTTGCTGGTGACGCTACGCACTTAGCATCTACTCCATAGCTGAGACCCTGCAGAGTTGGCGCTGGGGATGCCAGGCATATCTGTGGGTCCAGATCACATCTGCAAAGCTGCTTTGTTTCTCATGGAACTCCACCGTAGCCAGTCCCTTGTCTGTTCCTTGCTGTCACCCGGAGGAACTGATTACCACACTGGAGAGTCCATTCCCTTTGGTACAAACCCTCACATCTTCTTTTGTGTATCTTCATTCTAAAACAAAGTCTTGCCCCCATAAGCTTTCAGTCTGGATGCAGTTCTGGCCAAAGGCAGACTTGACTTCTGTGGAAATAATCTCTGTAAGTATTATCTGTAGGCCCACAGCGCCACCAAGTGGCAGCCACAGAATCGGCTTCTCTCTTCAGCTTGGTGTTTTATTCCAGTTCTTTCTAGCTGGCTTAATGATCCCATTAACCTGAATTTCATTTCCTTTAACAGGTGGCTATGAGAGATTTTCTTCTGAGTATCCAGAATTTTGCTCCAAAACCAAGGCTCTGGCAGCTATCCCGCCTCCTGTGCCCCCCAGTGCCATGGAGTCCTTGGACCTGGGCTGTAGCTCTTGTGGGACACCCCTGCATGACCAGGTACAAACCCCCCACCCCATCCCCCGGTATGGAAGGAGGGTGGGTGAGTCCAGCTTCTTTCTGGAATTTCCATATTTTTGGCAGAGGAGGGAGGTGTTCTGGAAATTGAATATATATAATATATATATAATATATATAATTACAATTTTAAAAATTGTTATTAAGGTGACGTTCAGCTGCATTACAGTTTCATAAGCAATTCCTATATTTTTAAGGCTTCAAATGTATTATGAGGAGACTGTGGTGAACCTGGAGTATTAGGGTAGAGTGTTAAGTATGGTCTATCTGCCCTTTGGAATTCTTTCCCTCCTCTCTTTTTTTAAAACTCATTTTTTTTTTTTTTTTCCACAAAGACATTATCCTTGAATTAGCCTCCAGAGTTTTGTTTTAGAAACAGGGGTTTCCTATGTAGCCAGGCTGGTCTACAACTTTGGATCCCCCAAACCTGTGCCATGATGCCCAGCTTTTATAGTCTCCAGAGTTATGAATGGAGACATGGGGCAGATTGCCTCAGGAAGCTCAGAGGACTCTACTTGGAAAGAAAAGCCATAGAATGAGTCCATGGTTCTCCAACAGTCAGGCAGTTTCCCCTCCCACATACCAGCCACACACCCTTCTCTATGGAAGCCAGTTTAAGCCCCTGAATTTCTTTCAAGCCTAGTACTCCAGTCCTTCCAGTTAGATGGCCCTGGGGATGAAATTACAGGGTTCTCCAACTTTGCCCTGTAAATCTCATCCTGAGTTTAGTAGGCCATTTTCCCTCATTGTGCCTCTACCTCTCCTTTTGCTTCTGATGCACTCAGTGAAGACAGCCAAGCACACCATGCAGATGAGGTGTGAACTCCTACTGTGGCACACACACAGAAAAGCCAGCCTGGTGTGCCTGCAGCCACATTGATGCTGGAGAGTTGAGCCAGAAGGTGGCGCTTATGGGCTTGACTTGTCCTGGTTTCACTGACCACCTACTAAAGTGTATAAAGGCTGTGCAGAAATCCCACAGAGCCCAGGCACCCCATTAAGGAGCTCCAAAAGGGGTTTGGGGAGCCGGAAAGGCTGTATCCAGCAGGCATCTCCCTAGGGTTTAGAAAGTTCCCCCCTGGATTGGCTGTACTTCAGGCCTTTTCCTGAAAGGGTGCCTTACACTCACAGTGTTTGGGGCTGCTGTGTTTCCTTTCTGGTGCAGGGGGGTCCTGTGGAGATCCTCCCCTTCCTCTACCTTGGCAGTGCCTATCATGCTGCCCGGAGAGACATGCTGGACGCCCTGGGGATCACAGCCCTGCTAAATGTCTCCTCGGACTGCCCGAACCACTTTGAAGGCCACTACCAGTACAAGTGCATCCCGGTGGAGGATAACCACAAGGCGGACATCAGCTCTTGGTTCATGGAAGCCATCGAGTACATCGGTATGCCAGCCCCGGCCTAGGGGGTGTGAGCTATGGGAGAGAGGGAGGGGCACTGAGACTGGTATGGATGGGATTTAACCCTGCTGTGCTGGCAGGCCCAGTGGCCCCTTGCTCAGCATGAAGGCCATCTGTTGGATGTTCTGTGGACAATTCCTTCACCTGTGCATGACTAACAGAGCAGTAACCGTCTTTGTGGCCCCAGGCATAAGATTTTTTGAATGGAAAGGAAGATAGGAGACTTGTTTATGCAAATGGAAATCCTTGAATGTAGATAGGATCCAACTGATTGTGGGATTTGACTCCCCCCTCCCCAAGTGGAGTGTTTTGGTTAAGCCTAGAAAATAGGCTTAACTTCCAAATCTCTAGTCTCATGGCTTTTCCATCAAGAGCTTCTCATCGTCTTTTCTCCCCATGTCCTGGCGTAAGCCACCTGCACCTGCCACTGGGTGGGTGTAGAATCAAGCCCTAATCATGTTGTGCTCTCTGCCCAGATGCAGTGAAGGATTGCCGCGGGCGGGTGCTGGTGCATTGCCAGGCTGGCATCTCACGCTCGGCCACCATCTGCCTGGCCTACCTGATGATGAAGAAGCGGGTGAGGCTGGAAGAAGCCTTTGAGTTCGTCAAACAGCGCCGGAGCATTATCTCGCCCAACTTCAGCTTCATGGGGCAGCTGCTGCAGTTTGAATCCCAGGTGCTGGCCACATCCTGTGCTGTGGAGGCTGCCAGCCCTTCCGGCCCCCTGCGTGAACGGGGCAAGGCCACCCCTACTCCCACCTCCCAGTTTGTCTTCAGCTTCCCTGTCTCCGTGGGGGTGCACTCAGCCCCCAGCAGCCTGCCATACCTGCATAGCCCCATTACCACTTCCCCCAGCTGTTAGAGCCAGGCTGTGAACCCCCAGAGCCAGAAGTGGCTTCCATCCTAGCCAGGGCATGAGCAACGCATAGGAGAGCAAGTAGAGACTAGTGGGGACAGGTGACCAAGTGCTGTCCCCATCCATTTCTCCTTGGCCATCCACGGGGCCAGCTAGAATGGCAATAAGGACTCTGATTACACATTTAAAAACAAACTCACAAAACACTCCAATTTAGAGCAATAATGGTGGCCATCAGTGGCGAGAGAAAACCTGGATTTGGTTCATGTGTCAGTTTTACTTTGTCAGGTAGAAATTTCTTACCTCATTTTTTTAAACAATTAAGGCTTGAAGTTATGAGATTTCCCCCCCCCCCCCAAATCCTGGCAAATGTGCTAGTCCCATTTTATTAGATGATGGTAGGGTGGGAGGGAGGGAGGGGCAAGAAGAAAACAAGTTTGCCAGAAGTGCCTGGTTTTGTGTGCAAGTCCTGTTGTTGTTGTTGTTGTCATGGGAATTTTGCCTTGCAAAATGTTCTAGGATGTGGTTTTCATTTCTAATTATTCACCAGCAGGTGAGTAATTATGCTTAATAATAAAGTATTTATTGAGATTTTTTTTTCCCTTAGAGTATGTAAGTCCAACAAGTTTAGTAACAGTGAATTTAGAATGTATTTATGTTGACATCCATCACCAGAGTGCAGTTGCATGCAGATGTTTAAGCATTGGGGCAGTAGATGGTGACTTCAAGGTCTGTGCCAGTTAGCGTGATGATTATTTTGCCACTGAGAAGGGGGTGGATGGCTAGGAGGAGAAAGAAGAGAGAGGACTGTTTGTTACTTTTGCAGCTGGTTCCTGGGCCTAGAGGCCACGAGCATACAATCTTTTCTCTCCTATGATCAGTTGGATGGTGGGAGCATTTTTCAGTTACGTCACCTGCCTAGGCCTTGCATATTGTCTGTGATTTGTGCCATGTTCTATCAGGTTCTCTTGGAAAACTGGGTACAATTCAGATTTTTCCTATGGCACATCATTTGATAAGGCCAAGGGGAAGAAGCCAGATGAGTAGAGATACCAGAAATGAATTCTCTTTCCCACATAGTGTAGTTTTTAATTTTAGTGGCTTTACTTGAAGCATAACAAATCCTTGCATTTTTAGATCCTTGTTGAACATTTTTGAAGGCCCTCTTTTGAATAAAAGGGAGAGTGGATTTCATGTTTCAGGTCTCTTTGAGTCCAGTGGGTGAGAGGTTTTGGGGTTTAAGGGGTAAAGGGTTGGCTGCTGGCTCCTGGCAAGTGCATCATGGGTACTTGGGAGCCATTTTGAATCCTTTCTTGGGCTAAGGCCATTTTAAGGGGCCTGTCCAATGGAGGAATGGCTTGGGAAGGGGAAGGATGCTTTCTAGGGGGAGGGCGGAGGGAGGAGGTAGGGAAGAGGGAACAAACTGTGTGTTTCTTCATTTGTAATGTTGTGGAATAGTGTTGTTACAGAGTGCCAGAATAGAGGCCATTGCAAACTTGTCTAGAAATGAGAGCATGTCTCCATTAGTCCTTTGGGAGTCTAGATCTCAGTGAACATTCTTGCTCACCCAAATAACTTCAAGCCTCAATGTCACAATCATGGAATGCTTGTTCTTATCCGGCATCCCAGGCAGGCCCAGGTTCGTTAACGTTTACTTCTGTGAACTACGAACCTGTGTTGGCATCAGCATCCTTGTCCTGTCTGCCTGTGTCTAGCCCTGCCTTCCGGTGAGGCCAGAGTTCCCACTTCCTGTTTGTAGGAAGGCATAGGCACCTTACTTCTCTGGGAGCTGCTTCACTGCATTTTCATGGAGTGAAGAGGCTGGGGCTCCTGGATGGGTGGACCTTTGTAGAGATTATGCAGTTGGACATTTCCACGTTTTCCTGGATTCTTGGAAGTTGCTTCATGTTTGATGAAGGATGAGGTCAAGAGAGTTTTGTAGCTGAAAAAAAAGCAGCCATGGGCTTCCAAGAGTGGTGGAGGGGCTACTGCAGAGCAGTGGGGGGGAGGGTAGCCTGGAGAACAGTCACCTTTTATACCATGAGTGTCCATTTGCCAAATATGTCCTTGTTCCCAGACTGCACTCCAAACCTATGGACAGTGGGAACTCAGGACTAGCTTTAGATGTCTTTTCCCTGTGTCCCAATTCAAGTCTTCAATCACAAATGTCAAATGGCTATATATAAAGTCATTTTCTTTGTACTTGATGACAGCATGGGTCCCAAACTCTTAGAAATAAAATAGGACATTGGCTTGGTTGAAAGGGGGACCTCTTTTTTTAAAAAAAAATTGTTGTTCGACCAGAAGGCTTTCTGATGAGTCGGAATAGCTCTAATGAAGACACTAATTCAGGGTCAGTGCGCATCGGCATGCAATTGTCTTTCCCTGAGGTGAAGTCAGCACATAGGCAATTTCTAAAATGGCAGAAACCATGGCCACTTCACTGCTTACTTACGTTTGCTATTGGTCACAAAAGGGAAAATTAGGTATGTACCATAGAGAGTGAGAAAGGTGGATGTCCTCTCCCAGGATCTTGTCTTACCCTATGGTGTTCATGGAGCTGCCATGAAGGGAAGGGGCTGGACTTCCTCATAGGAGCAGTATTAGGCAGAAGCACTGGAGAGCATGTAGTGGCAGCTCTGAGCTTCATTCCTTCCTGAGGCCATTGTTCTCAGGGGCTGTTTGCAACAAGGTTGGAACGCCTTGAGGAATAAGAGAGCGCCCTTGAGAAGAGGGAGGGATAGCAGGAATATGGTTGATTCAAAAAGGAAGGGAATGAAGTTGCCTGTGACACAGTGAAGCAGTGGTTCCTGGTGGCTGCCCATTAGAACCACCTGGACAACCTTCAAAGTCCTGATGGCAAAGTGGAACTTGTGTGGGTGGATCCAAGCATGAGCCCAATGTTCCCTGGGTGCTGCCCATAGATAACCATGTTTGGGACAGGATGGCAGGATGCTTTGGGGGACTGGATCTTGGCAACCCAGAGCTGGCTTGTCTCAAAGCAATCCCAGCCAGGTGTTGGTCACTGGTGTTTGTCATCATCCCAGCTGTCTGGGGAATGAGATGGGGTGCTCTGGAGTCCTGGGGTGTCTTTCCATGCTCCCCGAAAGGCAATACCATGCCTGAGTATTACTGTGTTTCCTGGAAACCTGCTTGTCCATCAAGATGTGCTGAAGGTTTCCCTGTACCCTGCCTTTTTTGCCTTCCTTAGAGCTATGAGTCATTCAAGAAGAGACTCCTGCAAGACAGCAATGCAATACTTCTAACTTGTGTAAATAGCCCTGTCTTTCTGAGTGGCATCATTTCTACATTTGATATGCCTGTATTTCTCTAGGATGTATATAGTTTAGGGGAGTTTTGTTTTTTTAGGAACATTAACATGTCTGTTTTTATTTATTGCTTGAAAAAGATCATTTGAAGAAAAATAAATACATTTTCAACCACTTCTGCTTGTTTTACCTTTTCTTGAAAAGAGTCCTGCTTTAATCCGAGCATTCAGCAGGCTTAGGCAGAATGGCAAGTTCCAGGCCAGCCTAGTCTACTACACTGCAGGACGCTGTCTCACGAAAACGTAAGAAACCATCCTGCTGTTATGATTTAGAGGGGAGAACAGCTCCTTGTCTACTTTGTACTGCTTTAACGGAACTACAGATCATAATCAATGAAGAACAGATTTATTACTTATAGTTTTGTAGTGGAGAAGTTTCAGAACAAGAGCACAAGGCAGCAAGAGGAGGTACTACATTTGCTTTTATTACAGGCTCACTCACAAAGCCATTAAAACCCATTCACTAGAGGGAAGTCCTTGACCCAGTAAGATTCCACTTCTCAACCCTGTTGCATTGAGGTGTATAAAAAGCCAGCACATGACTTTGGGGGAAGAAGGTGCATTCAATCCAAGACAAAGGAAGGACTTGGAGTTCCTGTACTTCTGAGCTGAACATACTATTGTATTATTAGAGCTTAACGTTTTAAAATACATTTTATTGGGACTTGAATTCCAGGGCCTTGTGTTCTTGCTTAGCTTTTTCACTCAAGGCAGGTACTCTACTGCTTGAGCCACACTTTACTTTTGGCTTTTTGCTATTTTATTGGAGATGTTTTCTCAGATTTGTTTGTGGTAACTTGTATCATCTTGTATATTTCCAAGCAGTCCTGTTTGGTATAGGATTCCTAGTTAGCAGATAGAAAAGTAGAGAATCCTCGTTTCCTTCCAACTATGGAGTCATTTAGTGATCTAGGGCAGACACTGGTTTCCTGACTTCAGCCAAGTCAGTCAATCCAATATCACCTCCCATCGTATGCTTTTCTGTGGAGAGCTGCGGGCGCCGACCAAAGATGGCGCGGCCGCATGGCACGGCCAAGCCAAAGATGGCGCTGGCTTCCGCCTTCCGCCTTCCCGATGGCGAGTGCTCTCTGTGAAAAACAACTCCTTATATGGCTATGACTTGGCTCCTAGTTTGCTTCCGTGTTTGCGACCCTATTGGTATATGCCACGTGGCACCTCGGGATTGGCCATCCAGGAGGCTTATAACGGGAGTGCGGGTGCGGGGCAAGGAAGAAGCTAACAATCAAGGGTCCTGAATAAACTGCTTTGAGAAGAATCCCGGGTCGTGTCTTCCTTGCTGGTCGAGGTGGATGCGACACTTTTCACTACTGATTCTAAGTAGAATTATTAACAGACTTAGTTTACTAATCAGTTCTTGGGCAGGAAATGTCAAGCATCATTTTAACATGTTATGTCTTACTTGAAAACAAAGGAAGACTCCATCTTCCATTTCTACAATGTTCAGGCCATCTGAACAGATGCCAACTACAAGGCAAGGCAGTGAGGCCCCAGGCTGACAGGAGGGAGCAGGTACTCCTTTGGTACAGAGGCCTTTTATTTTGGCTTAGAATAGTAAAGTAGGGAAAAATAAAAGCAAAGTACTGTACACAGGGCCTGTAGCTTCCAACCTGACTCTGGGTGAGAACTACCATGATAGGCAATGCAACTAGTAGTTCTTCAAAATTTGCTGCCCCCAAGCACTCATCCCTTTATATTAGGAAGATTTACTTTTCCTTTAGGAAATGCTTTGTGGCCCACACCTCCCACAAAGCAACTACTCAAGAGGTTCAGATAAAAATGTGGATTCTTAATGTCATAACGGAAACCATATTGATGAAGTTTTGTTTTGTTTTTTTTTCCTGAGTCTTGAACTTAGGGCCTGGGCACTGTCCCTGAGCTTTTTTCTTCAAGGCCTGAACCACAGCACCACTTTTGGCTTTTTGTGTTTCTGTGGTCCTAAGGAATAGAACCAGGGCTTCATGCATGCTAGGTAAGCATTCTACCACTAAGCCACATTTCTAGCTCTGAAGTTTTTTGTTTTTTTAATTTTATATTCGACTTGCCTTTTGTGTCCAATTCTGATCACGTCCAATTTCTGTTTCCTAATACAATAACCAAAGGGGGGAAGCGGAGTCTAAAGGGCATTCAGAATCTATCATGGGAGACAAGATATATAAAGTTATATAGTGACATCAACTCTACTTCCACTCCAGTGTAACACCACAGCTCCATGGCCAGGGCTTGGCATGTAGCTACTGCATTTAGCCTTACAGTGGGAAGAACTTCACCACTTTCAGTCACTTTACCTGTCAATGGAGGTTAAAGGATTTTTCAGGGTTGTTGATTAATGATGGTCTAGAGCCCTGGGTAAATCTTATGGGTTCCATACTGTCTTCTCTTCTTGTAGGGCTTCTAAGTACTTAGCAACCTCTTGTGACTGACATTTGTGCTGACAGTTTACTAATAAACTGTGGCTTTGAACCTGCCACCTAATGGGTCATTAAGCATGGAGAGAGAAGGGAACAAATGAGAAACATACCCTCTGTTCTCTATGCTAGGCATTTTTTTTTTTAAAGACAGGGTCTTGCTTAAAGTTCAGGTTTGCTTGGAACTTTATGTCTTCCTGCCTCGCCCCCCCCCCCCCCCATGCTTAGGTTGTAAGTGTTTATGTGTGGCTGTGCTAGATTTTTTATTATTAATCATTGCCTTGAGCACATAATCCTCCTTTTCTTTCTTCCAGTCTAAGATGTGGGCAGGGCTGAGTCTCTGGACTATCAAGTGGGACCTGTGAGCTGTGGCATAGGGCTTTACTAAAGGGAACCCACGTACCCCCTGCTACTGCTGTACTTCTTAACTCCCACAGGGACCTGGAGGTGGGAATAAAGAACTTTAAACCCTGGTCTCACAAGGAAGATGAAGGAATATTGTGATATGAGTTCTGACAGCTTTAGATCAGCTGTGTTGAGGCTAGTCAGACTGCTGCAACAGTTAAAGAAAAACACTTAAAAGTGGACTGCTATCCACACAGCATACTTTATAAATTTTTTTATTGAATATTAATGAATTACAAGTAGTGTAAGTTAGATGTTAAGCCAAAGCACAATTACAGGTTAAATACAATCACCGAGATGTTTTAAATAGAAACCCCACCATGGCGTCAGTTAAGTTCCTGATGCCCTCTTTGGAAAGTAAGTTAGAGGGTGAGGGTAAAGAGGCCTTTAGGCAAAGACACAAAGACTAGAAGAATTTCCATGCTGTGAGCAACTTTCCATGACCAAATAGCTGGGATTGCCAGATAGAGAAAACAAAGCAAAAGCCCAGGATGCACAGTTAAACCTAGATTTCATGTAAGTAAAGAATCTCTTCCCCACTTTAAACTGTAAGGATATGCTAAATATTGCATGAAACACAATGTAAAAAACTTTGAAATTCCAGTTTAACAGGCCTTCTTATGTTCTATCTGACAATCCTATAAATAGACAAATGAACTCTGGTCTTTGGTGGGCACACAGACTAAATAAAACAACACGGATAAGAACCAAAAGGCCACTACTTACTTACACAAAACAATATCACAATGAGAAAATACAACTACTACTCAATGCTGCCAGGAAACATTCTAGATTTCCTCAAAGCTGGTTTGTAAATGTTTCTCAGAAACCTTGTGCATCAAAGTACCTTTTTAGTTTTGTAGGTATGAAAGACAATTATTACCACAAAGATAAGAAGCTGTAGAACAATGGGAGCAGAAGCAATGGTTACAGTCAGGGCTACCTCCTAGCTCTAGGCTGTTGGCCTGCGAGACTTAGGTTCTTCTTAACTTTCTTTCATTGTAGTGTTCCCCAACTGTTTGTCCTGAACATTGGGAAGGACAGCAGAGTATGTGGACACTTCACTACTAAACTGAATCATGGGGCACACTCAGGGATGCCTGTGGAAATAGACAGACAAAAATGACAAAAACAATCTGAATTCTGGAGGGTGAGGGAACTCTTGGAAAAGATGATGGAGGAGTGGTACAGAGATGCCCAGTGTAAGGGAGAGAAGGCCAAAGGAGAGTACAAATGCAATCCTCCTACAGTGTGAATGTTACCTCAAAGGGCTTCTGCAGAACGCTCTGGCAGAAGTATAAAATAGGTCTCACTATGACCATATTTGGTCTTTTAGTATATAAAATCTTCAGTTTCCTACAGGTGTTCAGTTTAATATATCATAGTTTCTATTTTAAAATGATTAAAAAATAGCTCGCACACTGTGCAAATGCTACATGGTATCACGGTTGTTATTATATTCCCATATGTACAATTTAACAGGCTTTGAAATCTTAGCATTTCTCCAAACCACAAGATATGAGGAGTTTCAGATATGGAGAAATTGGAACGTATTGATTCTGTTCGCTGTTGTATGTGAGGGCGTATTAGGAAATATTCCCTCGTCAGCTTACCATATACGTAATACATGGAGACATACCCCATTCAGTGACACCGTTCCAATGCTAAGAAATAGAATTAGACTGTTTCACACATCAGGATATAAAAGATTAAAAAATGTCTGCCAAGTTAAGGCTTTCTTAAGAAGAAAAACTGCCTATTAATTGCAGAATGCACAAGTTGCCAGAAGCAGCCTCTCTTAAAAGGTGGTATTTTTGGACTGTTCTTCCTTTCCCAATGTTAGATGTGCTCAGAGTAGCAAGTATTATTTTCATTTCTCTGTCATTGATTTAACATCCTACAAACTTCAGTCTTTAAGTAAATGTCTGACACACTAAACCCTAGTTTAATGTCAGGTTTGAACATTTGTTGAATGACTAAAGTCCGTAGCTGTAGGAAGATAATTACTCTGAAAGAAACACAGTCAGAAGGCTACCATAGATATCACACAACTGAGGTCTAGGTGCACTGGTGGAAAGCCGCTTAGAAAACTGTTTGTGAGACCATTTACAGGAATCCATTTAATGCACATTTGAAAAGGGAAGGAGAACAATGTTTAATAACACTTTGTGCATTTAGAGAATATGCTGAAATAGAGAAAAATCTCAACAGCCTATTGCATTTGGTAGAACTGTTTTCCTGCTTTAAACAAAATTTTGTTTTTGTACAATATCTATGACAATAGAAAGTGAATCTATATTAGTGTTTGCTTGTCATGTTTAGGCATTTCTCTATATGTTTCAATGCACTTGGCTATTTTAAGACAGCAAAGGGAGATCAGCCAATATCATCAAGCTCAAAGGAGCACAAGGATGCTTGTTATTTTGTGACTACACACAATATTGTTTATTTACGTAAGCTGCTTGGCTAGAATTTCTACTTGGCTAGAAATTCTGGATTGCTAAAGAGGAAGAGAAAATAAGAATCCTGGTGTACTGCTATCATTTTGTGTAGAAGAAAAACTCTGGGTTCCATGTGGTCGTTTGCTAACAAACTGGCAGAAATTTTGAGCACAGTTCTGGTTGTGATATGGAAATGGAGAGATACCCAGATTCTTTTTGTAAGACTCAAGATGAAGAGAGAAAATAAGTGGGGTAAAAGGCAATTAGAGCTTTCTAAAATTACAACTAGCAATTGAGGGAAAGGCAAAGGTAAGTCCAAGAAGGAAAGTATTTAGAGCACTTAATTTATGCCTAAATATCCCCAGTTTAGCCACAACAAACAAACAAACAAACAAACAAACAAAAAAACCCTGGAAAACTGGGCCCCTCAGACCTAAAGAAGCCCTTTGATTTGAACTCTGGTAAAAGCTGGTAGCAATGGCAGAAATGTCAGGATTCTCTCTTCTGTTCAGTTTGGGAATCAGAAGGTGTGTTTCAGGGAGTCCCAAACTTGTGTTTTTCAATAGTGCATATATAAGAAATTAAACAGAGCCTAGTTAAATTTAATGCCACACTTTTATATTCCAGAAGGTTCCTCACATTACTATATATGGAAATTCCAAGTGTGATCAACTTTTGCTAACTTTTAAGTATACTCATGATGACCTTTGGCTTTCAAGTTCTGAAAAAATCTATTTGGCTCCTGTGATATATCCCTTAACCTAATCTCTTTAATTGATAATGTACATACACTCTTTCAAGACCTATGACATGCTTGAATCGACTAAAAGCGCTGCGATGTCTTCTTTACATGTACCTTTACTAGGTATACAGAACATCAGACATAGAACACTGGCAGTTGAATGAACCACAATCTTAACTTCTCAAGTGTAAAGCCCACATTTAAAACTGGCACATGTATGAATCTAATTAGTATATGATGGAAATAACACAACATCCAACCACAGTTGGGTAGTGGTTTATCTTTTTAATGAAGCTATAGAGCTGTCCATATCTACACCATATTAACTTGTTTATTTAACTAAAACTCACAGCTGTATTTACTGTTCTGACTATGTTGGAGGTGAGGGCGAGTAATACACACTCCACAGCTACTGAAAATGACACCGAGAGCCAGGTCTTCAACCATTTTACACACAGCAAAAAAGAAGGGAAGGAGGAAAAAAGCCCTCTAGTGCCACTAAATACACAGCCAAAAAAAAAGCACCCAGCCTAGGTCACTGACACTTCAACAGAAGCAGCAGGTAGCACTAACTCTTGGTTGAGCTTTGAGGACCCATGGCCACTGACACTTCAACAGAAGCAGCAGGTAGCGCTAACTCTTGGCTGAGCTTTGAGGACCCATGCAAGCTTCAAATAGAAAATTCAGCAGTCTCAGTGCCTCGTTCTAGCATTGGGCTAAAGCCACAAAAAAAGGTTATTTCGAGAGCTTATTTCTAAGATTTTGCATGTAGCCATTTTATTTCACGTTTGGAAACTTAAAGGAGGTCACAGCTTAATCAGACTGCACTAAAAAGAAAAGTTATATTAGTTTTCAGGACTTTCAATGGATGTGGCAGGTTTACACTGGTTCTTATTTTTCTATGATGTTCACATTACTTTTGCTTCAAAGCTGAGTGAGATGCACAGCATGTCAAGTAAATAAAAATATGCACTCTGCCCAATACTCAGTCATGGTGAACAGGGCAAGCCTAAGGACTGAAGTGGGTAACTTTCATTACTGTCAATATGTACTTTGCAAATGTTGGGGAGAAGAAGCAGTATGGTGCTTCCTTATCAAATTCATTAAAAAAAATAACCAAAAGGGCTTTGGTTTCAATTTTTTGTCTAAATATATTAAGAATAGCTCAAAAATTTAGTGCAGAGATCTTTATAAACTATTTGAAGCATGCTACTCAAAATACCCTTCAAATCTGAAGTCAAAAAGTTCTTGCATTTGTGTACATCTATTACACAGGTTGAGTCCTAGCTTTCTAAACTAAAGAGACAATAAAATGTTTTGAGACCTTAATGAAGTACAATAGGTTCACTGACTTTGGGAATAAGGCAGTTACTTTTGAGGACCCCAGTTCTGGTGGTACAGGGCGACTGAAGGGAAGTGTCACCTATTCTGTGAGAAGTCCCTTCCACGCTTCTTGGCTGCAATGTGCACAGCCAGGTGCTTCTCATCAAGCTCCCTGTTTGTAGGCTGACTAGCCAGCGCCTTGTAGGCAGTTCACTGGGGAACAGAAGTCATAATTACTTCACTCAGATGTGTTCCTGACTATGCTTTCTGGGTTCCAGCACTGTCCTGAACTCCCCATGCAGCAGGCTGTACTGGAAAAAGGAAGTGGCTGTTCCTGGCTCTAATATCTCATCAGCTCCTAAGTCAGCCTGATGGTCTGTGTCTTCCCTTGTAAGCTGGGCAGACTAGAAAAAGGAAATTAAAGTTTGATGTTTTTCCTTTTCATCTTCATTTGTGTTCACAACAAGCACAGATACAAAACCAACAAAAAAGTGGAAATAGCATCTTGCTTAGCCAGAAGCTCAGGCTGCACTACACTGTTAATGGTATTATTCAGTGTGACTTGTTCAAAATATCCTGGGAAGGGCTCGGGGCTCATTTTCAAAGTAAAAAAGCACCAATGATGCATGTTTGAAAAAAAGTTCAATGAGCCTGTCATATGTGTATGTCTGTTATATGTCATACACATAAAGCAAATGTAGTGTGCGATTATGAACATATGAGACAGTATTGGTTTTCTTTTTCCATTTCCAAGTCTAGATCAAAGAAATCTGGCTTAAGAAATGGGTAACTGCAATGAGAATGAGCCTGAGATATGTTAAAAGGCCGCCCTTGTAAACATTCCCTCAAAGGGAACAGTAGCAGTTGAGTATTTGTTATTCATAATATACTTATCACTATCGCAATGCTTTATAAAAGACGAGTAGCTTATTTCTAGGCTGTCAAGGATGAAGAGACTATGGATTTTTTTTTTGTTGTTGAACACAATCCACTGTAATCTAGTCCCAGGTTGGCATTCGATCTGGTTTTTACTGGGGGTGGGGAGGCATTTACTAGGTCTTCTGTTCTGCAGCTGTGGCGGTCTGTGAGGGGGCTTCTGGTTTCACAATCTGGTATGTGATGAGATACTCTGGGTATGCCTAGAAAGGACAAGAAGAAAAACAACTCACCCTTCTGGTAGGTGTCATATTAAAGTTATACTTATTGAGAAGCCTCAGTGGTTATTAATCTGAACCAGCATTCTACCTGGCCCCAAAGAACCTGGGAAATCCAGCAAAGCAATTGGGATCTGACCAACCAACAGGTCTACCTACTAATTTGTAAATAAACACGTTAAATCCTACCGTCTAGAAAACCAGATATTATCTGTATTTCTTTCCCCCTGCTTTTTTTCTGTACTGGGGATGGAACTCAGGACCTTGAAGGTACTAGGCAACAATTCTACATCTGAGCTATACTTCAGCCATCAATTTCTATTCAGAATAGTGTAAATTTGTCACACTTAATTTATCCCTTAATAATAAGGCATGCCGGGGCTGGGAAGGTGGCTCAGTGGGAGAGCACTTGCCTTGCATGCCTGAGGCCCTGGGTTTGATTCCTCAGCACCACATAAGCAAAAAAAAAAAAAGCTGGAAGTGGCGCTGGGCTCAAGTGGTAGACCGCTAGTCTTGGGCTGAGGGACAGCACCCACGCCCAGAGTTCAGGCCCCACGACTGGACCCAAAAATAAAATAAAATAAAATAAAATAAGGCATGTGCCATAAACAGTAAAACTAAGGCAGGAAGCAACAATAATATCTGTCTTTACTTCATGTAGCAAACTCTGTCACACAGCATATGGTCAATAAAAGTTTCTAAATAAAAGACTAATTCTGCTGAGCAGAATTCAAATTAATTGTAGAAAATGATGTAATCCTAAATCTCACCTAGAAGGAGTAAGGGTGAGATATGTTGAGATAGTTCAAGTACCATTTTTTATAGCTAATTAACAGAAAAGACAATGGCTCAGATTTACACTTGCTTCCTTCCCCAATATCCACCCCCCCCCATATTTTCTTTATACTCTTTTTTTTTTTGTCGGTCATTGGGCTTGAACTCTGGGCCTGGGCACTGTCCCTCAGCTCTTCAGCTCAAGGCGAGCACTCTACCACTTGAGCTACAGTCCCACGTCTGGTTTTCTGGTGGTTTATTGGAGATAGGAGTCTCCTGCCTGGGCTGGCTTTGAACCGCGATCCTCAGATCTCAGCCTCCTGAGTAGCTAGGATTACAGGCGTGAGCTACCAGCGCCTGGCTTTTAGCATCTTTTTGATGGGAACAAAAGGATGGCTGATGAGAAACCTTAACCAGAAATCACTATGAAGACAGCAACTGGAACAAGAAAAGTTAAAAAAAAATCCTCTAGTTTGTATACTACACAGGAATCCTTTATCACTAACTATAAAATAATGATAAAAGTAGACATGGTATCTCAAGTGGCTGAAAAATAATACTCATTTGGGGGAGGAAAGTATTTTGAGTCCTCAAATATATCTGCTGAATGCTCATATCTAAATTACTTGATTGATGATATAGTATCTGTAATAAAGAGTTTAAGATAATTAAAAACCCTACTTTTTAACATTTAAAATGCAAGAAAAAAACATGTGGACATGTTTAATAATCTAGTCATACTTATTCAATGAGTAACACACCTGTTCGCCTCTGTAGATGACATATTCAGCATATGCCAGCCCATTGACACTTGGTCTACCAATAACTGAATGATGACCTGGAGGAGCATGAGCCATTTTCATGGTGCTGAATTGCAGAAAAGATTTTCCAAGGGTCACTCTACAGAAAAGCATTTGTCTAAAGAAAAAAGAAGAGCAATATTAGAAGGAAGCTATATATCTTCGAATAATGTAATTATTAAGATTGTTTTTTAAAAAAGCTAAGTTTAATAAAAGGCAAGCTAACTTAAATGTTATTTTCAAATTTTTGTGGGGGAATAGGACAGAAATTGATATATTGATTTACAATACAAATATAATCAAGGTCAATAGTGAAAGTATAAGGTCATTCTGGTATGTTTTAGGAACCACAGAAAATGTGTGGCTTTAAGTAGTGCTTAGTGGATAAAGAGAAATATTAGAGAAAGCTGCATGAATGGATAGGTAAAATGTAAAGAAAACAAGCAGAAAGGCACCACATCTGAAATTAAGATTGGGCTTATTTTTTGTTATGAGGAAAAAGTCAAAATGGGGATACGTAATAGAGTGGAACATGAACAACAATACTTAGCTTAACTATGTGGCTGGAAATCATATTACCTGGGTGAAGAATGAATTAGTGCAGTGCAGATTACAGGGGCTAAGGAATAAGGAAGGTTGTCTGAGAAAAACAGTATATAAACTATCGTGTGTCCACTCTAGCTTCCTCCTGCTTTTGCAAACACAACTGTACTGGAATGAAGCCTCACTTTTATTTACAGATAGTCTATAGAAACTTTTGTAGTACTGAGTCAAACCTAGTCATTGTGATAGGGATCACAAGGCTGCAAAGCCTAAAGTAATTACTACCAAGACCTTTAAAGAAAAGGCCAACTCCTAATCTAAATGATATAAAAGTTTAATCAGTGAAATTGGTTACACTGTTAAATATAAAGTTATCTAGTTAAATTGTTTCTTTGTGTTATGAACACTATGAGATTATTTGGGGCCAACTAAAATTTATGTTGGACCTAGCATAATTGGATCCTGACTAGATTTTCTTTTTCTTTCTTTTTTTTTTTAAGTTGGATATTACTTGTGATTTTCTAGGGATGCTGGTTTGATATTGTGTTTTCTTGTGGGTCTAAGAAAGAATGAATCTGTTCAACATTAGGAAGAGGCTTTGGCATTCCAAGTCAGCTCTATGAAATACCTCTTGACCTGCCAGGTCCTGACTTCTTCTTTCTGCCTCCAAGGTTTCTCTGTTGGTGTTATGCCTGGCCAACCCATGAGGCTATAAGTTGTAAGTAGCCAAGTGGATAGTACTGGCTCATGTCTACTCAGTGGCTTGTGTTGTACAGGGTGCCCAAGTGCTGGTGTAGATGTTGATCAGTGCAAGCGAGAAAACAGTGGATAAACTCATCTCTTTCTCCTATGAATACAGTATTGTTCTGAGAGCCTCTGAGATGCAGTACTTCATACAGCTTCTTAAAGCAATCAACTGCACTTGCTACGGAACTGCCTTTCCTAGTTCTGACTGTGAAGAAAGGCAAGTGAAGACCAAGGAGAAAGGAGACCAAGATTTACACAATTCTATTATAACCTATGGCTGGTAAGTAAATATGTCTGGTTTTAACCACTAGTACCTGCTTTGTCCAACTTTTAAGCATGGCTGGTTTATTAGGGGGTAAGACTGTGGAGAATCTGTGACATCTATAGAGACTGAGAGGCAAGTGTGGTTGGTTAAGGTGGTAGCCATCACACTAAAGGCAGGATGCTTACCTGTGACATATATAACATGACCTATCTTTGTGTGTGGGGCAGCCTGTTCCTCCACCAATCCCATAAACATACTGGTTGCTTTTAGAGGAGTTTTCAGCAAAATAAATTCCAGCTCCAAACATTCCTCCGATGTAAGCATGTCGCTCATCAAACCCTTTATGAATAATGGCATTAATGAAAGGAGAACCTAAAAGTATAACAATAGATTAGTTTTTTAATAGAATTTCAATTAGTAGCATATTTTTCTCAATATATTCAGCAATTAATAATGCAAATTCATTTTCTAAGCTGGCTGATTATATATAAATTATTGTACTTTACTAGAATCAGCAAAGAATGTGACATGTATCTTTTAAGATAGTGTTAAGAACAAGAGTATTTTACATGCAATCATGATTGTGATGAGCTTAAGAATTACACTAACTTATGGGCTGGGAAGGTGGCTCAGTGGTAGAGCGCTTGCCTTGCATGCCTGAGGCCCTGGGTTGGACTCCTCAGCACCACATAAGCAAAAAGAAAAAAGCCGAAAGTGGCGTTGTGGCTCAAGTGGTAGAGTGCTAGCCTTGAGCTGAAGAGCTGAGGGACAGCGCCCAGGCCCAGAGTTCAGGCCCCATGACCGGACCCCCCCCCCCCCCCAAAAAAAAAGAATTACACTAACTTACAACAAAATATACTTTACTAGGTGAGTCAACTATATACATTACTTTCTGCATGTGCTTTGAAAGCTAATACTGACATGAAACACTAGCTAGTACCAACAGTAAGTATTTGAGAAACAGAATCAAAACAAGACATTTGAACACAACCAACCCTGTATTAATTTTCTGCCAAAGCTTGGAGGGACGTCTGCAAAGACTCCATGGTACGTACCATGAAAGAGCATGCGCTCATTGTGATGGTTGTGGTTCTCTTCAGATACTTCCTTTTGTCTGTGACAGAATCGCTCTCTCAACTTCTTGTTGACAACTTTTTGAATCTTTAATAAAGGATGAGAAAAAGAAAGTTAACTATCAATAAGAGGTAAGTTCCTAATTTACTAGGAAAAGTGTTTTACTTAGGTAGGGTCAGTTTTGTTTTCTTGTTTGTTTTACTTAAGTGACAGTCATGTCAGTGGAATTCAGCTACTATTCCTCTTAATGATTTTTACTTATACTTTTTGTTATTCTGTATTTTGGGGTTAATTCTGATGTCTACTGGCATCATTTATATCTGCTAACTCCACTTCATCAAGATTTAATTTTTGGGTAAGCAAGCCTATTATTACCATCAAAGCTTTAAAACTTACTCGAATGACATTGTATCTGTTAAAGATGCCACCAGCATTCCCACCATCTCTATGTTCTCGAATAGTACTCTGCATCTGTAGAATAAAATGTTTTAACTTTATATAAACACACTGGTGTATTAATTCTAAAGATATTTCCTCTGTTTCCAATATTTCAAGTTTCCCATATGGTTTCAGTGAATAGCCAAAAACTCAGAATTAGTAAATAGGAGTTCACTAACAAATTGTTTAACAAATTTAGTGACATGAGAAAATAGAGATTAACCAAAGCTCTGACAAAAAGTGATTTCTATACCATCTCTCTCTCAGGACATCCATACAAATAGTCATCCTATTTTGACTGAAATAATTATGATTGGAGAAATTGGCAGCTGACTTCTGAACCATATGTGAAAATTAAACATATTGTTTAGAAAATAGTTTTAGTAGGATGTGTACTTACATGAATTTCAAGGAAGTCTCCAGAAAAAGATATCTACCCCACATACTGGACAATAAACATATGACGTGTTATAGTTCTAATCTACAGTGGTATAATCTGAAGCACTGTGATGTTCTAACCTACAGTCCTATTTCAATTTTGGCAATATTCTATTACTGTGATCACTAATGGAGACTATTAACAGGCAAGTGATTATAGGAAATTATAGATGAGCTTATGCTGACTAGAAAACAGGTTTAATAGGAGTCAGAAAATTAAAATTTTTATGTCCATTACCTCTTCTTCTACTGACTGATATTCTTTATCTTCTGGAGCAAGATCTAGCAAAATAGTTCCCTGATTTACACAATGAAAAGTCAAGTAAGGATTGGTTCCTGAAAGAGAGAAAAAAATAAACATGTAAAATAAAAGTCCATACTACCTTGGCCCTATGTTAGAGGAACTTAATAAATAACTGACATTATGAGACATAACTTAAACTATTTTCATTTTCAATGTCAAACATAAGAGTGTATTTAACAACTAAAACAAAGACAGAATAAATTATGATATTTTAGGGAATTTATTTGATCTATTCTTTCAGAGTACCTTCTACTCAGTAGGTTTTAATAGTATTTGTTGAACTAAACTCATATCATGAATGCCCATGAAAAAAATATGTCTGACATTAGAGAAATCACAGTGTGTCATGTGTAAAATGTAAGAATTATCCTTTACTAGCTTCAAATGTTCACTAACATGAACTTCCCAGTTAATTTTATGGATGGAGTATAATATACAGATAAGTAAGTAGGAATCTAGTTCAAAACCTCCTTTTAAGTCAGACGCTGGTGGCTCCCATCTGTAATCCTAGGTACTCAGGAAGGTGAGATTTGAGAACCACTGTTCAAAGCCAGCCTGGGCAGAAAAGTCCGTAAGACTCTTATCTCTAATAACTTCCCAGAAAAAGCTGGAAATGGTACTGTGGCTCAAGTGGTAGAGTGCTAGCCTTGAGTACAATGAGGCTCAGGGACAGTGCCCAGGACCAGCAAACAAGCAAGCAAACAGACACCCCCTTTCAGTTTCACATCATTGCAATTTTCTTAGCTCTGCATATTATCAAGTTGTTTTCCTTATCTTTTCTTGCTTTCCTATAATGAAATGTATTTCTAAGAGAAATGATAAGCATGAAAGAAAAAGATAAGGGACTTTTGACAACAAAGGAAAATGGAAAAACAAAACAAAACAAAACAAAAACACCTGAGTTAATGGTCAAAAAGAAGGGATAAAGGTTCAATAAGCAGTAAAGGGGTAATTTATGAAAGACAGGTTTTAAGTATCTGACTTTATTCCCAAAGCAACAGGATTTTATTGAAGGGTTTGAGCCCAAGAATGCTGGATCACATACTCATTCAAAAGGGTTGGGGTGGTCCGTGTGCAGAAGGCAGGGGAGGGAGGTAATAGCGGAAAGTTGCAGATAAGCTGGAAAGTGATGTGATGGTCCTGGAGAGAGGTCATGGTGACTTGGGTTTGGTGAGAGCAACAAGATGGTGGTGTTTAAAAATTCCAGAGAAATGTAGGAGATAAAATGTAGGAACAGAAAGGAGAACTCACAGGTATTTTCAACTGGAGAAGTATGTTGCCAGTAACTGAGATGAGAAAGCAGAAGGTACTCTATCAGTTACATGTTGGGCTTTGGGGCCAGATTGTCTGAGCTAAAATGCCAGCCTTGACATTTATCTTGCATTGTTAACATAATTTTTTTTCTGCCAGCTTACCTTGTTGTCCACCTAAAAGTCTTTCTACTCCTTTGATTAATTTGTGGCGATGTCCATATGCGTTGATCCCTATTTCTTTCAACTCTTCATGACCCATGTCAGCCAAAACATCTAGTGTAATCTGAAAAATGAAAGTAAAAATTAGTTGTAAATCTGTAGCAGTTCCTCAGGGAATGAAGGTATTTCCAGTTGCCTATAATGTTATGATTCCATACAAATACAACTCTTTTGTTTCCTTTATGAGCAGGACTTTACAGCTTTCCTTTCATTGCTTTAATTATCAAGTTTTTAGCTTAACAAAAATACATCTAATTTGCTATAACTGATGTGGAATTAAAAAAGGAGCAGTATTATAGAAATATAAATGATCATTGTTGCATTTCCTTCACATTACTGAGTTCTACCATCTTTTACCTGCCTTAAGATAGATAAGACATGGATAACTCGTCAAACGGGGAAATCACAGATTCCACTGTCCAGGAGGCAGTAGAAATGAATAGTAGAGAAAAGGGAAAAGTAATTGGTATTGTGATTGTTATAACTAAACAGAATATGGTAAGCAGATTTTAGGTAAAGATAAGAAAATTCTCTGTGTCAGGAATATTCAAGCCAGGAATATGCTGCTTAGAAAGTAATGAAATGAGTGGGGCGCTGGTGGCTCACCCCTGTAATCCTAGCTACACCCCTGTAATCCTAGCTAATCAGGAGGCTGAGATCTGAGGATCACGGTTCAAAGCCAGCCCAGGTAGGAAAGTCCGTGAGACTCTTATCTTCAATAAACCACTAGAAAATGGGAAGTGGTGCTGTGGCTCAAGCAGTAGAGCACTCGACTTGAGCTGAAGGATAGCACCCAAGCCCAGAGTTCAAGCCCCATGGCCGACAAAAAACAAAAAAAAACAAGAAAAAACAAAACAAAAAAAGAAAGTAATGAAATGTGGATTTGAAGTACTGAATGTGATTTCAGACCATGTGATAAAGAAGCTATATCAGGAATTCCAATTAGGACAAGAGAGGAAGTAATTTATAAGCTCTCAAATTCTCAGATTTATCAATCCGGGCTGAAAAACACACATTTTATTTTTGCACAAAATAGCATTTTTATTTTTGCTTATTCATCCCTGTAGACGGAGATAATTAGTTGGCTCCAGTAATACCTTTGTGAATGAAAGTAACTGTGACTCTAGCACCACCAAGTGGCAGTGTTCTGATTTCATGAGATGAGATCTTGGGCAGCCACACACCTGTCATTTTCAGCCCACAAGAGGCTTGTTCTGTGACAATACAATACAAACACTGGTCTACAAGACTGGCCTTTCACTTTCTTTCTTTGGAAAAGAAAGAGTAATCTTTTTTAAAAACAGACATTCATGTAAGATTCTAAACCATATCCATAGCCTTTTCTACTTTTCTACTTATATAAAATACTTTTTTGAAAAACCTGAGAACTAAGATATAGGGCTCTGCTGATTTTTATCGTCAGAGTGAAATTTTTAAGTCTGATCATCTCAGTGCAATGAACATACATTGCTCATTCTCTGAAGTAATTTACTATATTGCTGCTAAGTGGCTATTTAAGAAATAATTGCTCTATTGGACAAAATGGGCAATTCACTTGAAATTGCTCAAAGGAAGTTTTCAGTAGAGCTTTCAAAAAGCACCAATCTGAAACACACATCTCTGAAACAGAATAGGATATTTCACAAAATAGGAGCCTTTACTATTTTTGGCTACATGTGATTTTAATAAAGATTGTGAACCACATTATCAATAATATCCTTTCTTCTTCTTCTTCTAAATATTCTGTCACTTTAAGTAAAGTTGGCATAGAAATGGGATCATATTTATGCAACAACTACAACTCAGACGCCTCAACCTTCTCTGAAGTGACATTCAGTATTTATCTAACACAAGTAGTGGGCCAGGATCAGAACTCTTTCTCTCTCCTCTCTATTTTCTTTTTTAGTCTCTCAATCATAAAAAAAAAATAAAACCCAGACCTAACTATCACTACGACCACCCAAAATACTCTGACAAATAGACATGAGGCCACTTACTTTAGAAAGCTAGGCTGAGGGTAGATCTCTTAGTCTACAATGGCTTTAAGTATCTGTTTGGACTGAAGTGCTGCTCTTGAGTATTGACAAGGGAACAGATTTCAATCCAGACAGAAGACCCTAAACGTATTGATACATTCCTAACAAATACAATGCAGTTGAAGCAATGGGATAGAATTCTTAGATCATGGTGCGTATCTTGGGCTCTCACTCTCGTGGAGGGCTCAGCTGGGGGAAGCTGGCTACAGAGAGAGCATGACTGCCACTTCTTACATTCACATTCACACCTTGTGTGAGCCCCTTCTTCTGGAGTGCAGGATGGCCTACTGACTTGTTTCTACCCAAGAATAATATAGCTATGGTGACAGGGTGTTGATTGGAAGATCCTCTTTTCCTCCTTGTGGAGTTGGATAAAATAAGATGCCCATTAGAGAGGCTAATGTGGTAAGGACTGAGGCCTTCAGTCCAACAGACAGAAAAGATCTGCATTTGTCAAGAACCATATAAATCTGGAAGGGGATCATTTTTTCAGCTGAGACTTCAGAATGAGATTCCAGCCCTAGCTGATACTTGACTGCAACCTTATGAGACAACTACACAGATCCTGCTCCACAAAATGTGTGTTGTTTGAAGCTGCTAGGTTTGTGGCCATTTTTTCAGCAGCAACAGACAGCCAATATACATGGCATAAGGCTATTCAACCACTGTGAGTAACCTTGGAAGTGGATCTCCACCAGTTAGATGAGCCTTCAGATGAGACTGCAAGACTTGGCTGACAGCTTTGACAGTAACTTGACGAGAGATCTTAAACCAGAGACAACCAACTAAGCCAGGCCTGCATTCTTATCCACAGAATCTGAGATAATAAATTATGGTTATTTTAAGCTATTAAGTTTTGGAGTAGTTTTTCTCATACAGCAGTAGATATACTAATATGCCCGTGCTATCTTTTTGTGTGTGGTGAGCCTCAGAGTATTATGATTTCTCACTTAGCTTGCTTGCTCAGAGCTGGCACTCTACTACTTTGAGTTATATCTCTAGTCCAGCTTTTTACTAGCTAATTAGAAATGAGTATTGTGGCCTTTTCTGCCCATAGTCCTTGGATCTTAGCCTCCTGATCAGTTAGGATTACATGTGTGAGGTACCTCTGCCCAGCCATTTTGACATTTATCCAATTTGATGCTCATAGTCCCACAGAAAGAATAAACATGAAAATAACCAAAAGGAAAAAAAGAAATCATTCATTAGGATATTGGCTAAAGGATAGAAGGAATCAAAAATATTTGGAATCTTGAAAAAGAGAGAATGGCCCAACTTTACCTGCAACTGAATACAAACGTATTACTGCAGTTCCACCAAGCCATTTACCATCATCTCTCTAGCCAATATTCATTATGTGCTTGCTATCCATCAAATATACCAATGAAAGTTCTACTAGAGCCTTATGAGGAAACTGAGGCTAAGAAAAGTCATAAAAACCTCAGAAGGTCAGGGATATAGGTGAGTGGTAGAGTAGTTGCTTAGAATGTCAGAGGCCCTGGTTTTAATTCGCAGCACCGGCTGTGGAAAGTACAAGATATTAAAATATAATATATGCTCAACAAATGTCAAAAGTCATGATATATAACTTGATCCTCTGCCTGCCTTCCTTCCTTCCTTCCTTCTTTCCTTCCCTTTTCCCCAGTTCTGAAGCTTGAACTCAATGCTTTTACTCTCTCCCTCACTCAGCTTGTTGCTCACAGCTGGTACTCTACTACATTTCCAACCTAGCTTTTGGCTGGTTAACTGGAGATGGAATTTCATGGATTTTTTTTTTTTTTTGCCTGAACTGGTTTCGATTCTCAATCCTCCAGATCTCAGCTTTCTGAGTAGTTAAGATTATAGACCTTATATTTATTCATATTTATTAAAAGCGGTGACTAGAAACCTGAAATAACAATTTTAAATTCAGTTGCTTTGAGTTAAATGGTGTCTAATTCGTTCTCATATTTAATAGGCACTACCACTGGAAGAAAAGCTACAGAATTTAGTTTTGTCTTCATTCATTCACAACTCTCTAAAATATGAGAAATATTATTTTGAAAATCATGCTTTTAAACGATAGTAACTCACTTTATTTTAAACCTTAACTTAGGTTTATCGAGAAAATCAAATTTGTTGGGCTAATTATTTATATCTAACACACATTAAGATATAACTATCATCTTTAGAATAAAGATCATTTGTATGTGAACTAAAATCATCCTTCATATAAAGCAAATGTCACTTCTTCTAGAGAGTTGCCTCTTGTTTCTGAAATCTGTCCATTTTACCTGGGATGGGAAGAGAAAATTAGCATTATAAAAGAAAAGTAGGTGCTGAAGTAACATTAGTACCACATTTAATCAATTATAAGGGATTTGGGTAACATTGTTTGATACAAAGCTTAGTTAAATGTCTACATGAAACAATACAATTTAGTTCAGAGACTTCTGAGAGTAAGTGTGGAAGTTGAAATTATGATAGTCTGAAAGATAATTTCTTGGGACCAGAAACTAAACAACGTTCCCACTCTATTGGGAGAGAGGTATCCATGAATAGAAACAAAAGGCAGGAAGATATTATAAAGTGTCTTAGCAGACAAAATAGTTCCCTTGGCCTCAGCTAAGCAGACAGGAATTAAGTCAGGCATGCACCTTTACTGCTCTCAGCTATATAACTATTGTGACCATCATTACTTATTACTGACTTGCTTCAATATGTTAATGTAAGAAAGAATTAACTACATCTGTTCCGTTATTACAAAAGGCTAGATAAATAACATCTACAATTGAAATAAAAATAAACTTGATTACTTGACAATTGGGCCAGAAGATCAGTTTCAAATAGATCAATATAAACAAAGACAATATCATTAGTCTGGAGGAAAGGAACAGCATTAGGTAATATACATTAAGTGTAGCAGTCAATATACTGACCAAAAAAAGAACATAGGAATTATTTTGGCCAAAAGAAAATCAATGGAACACTGATTTATTTGGAACAAATTTGCAGTGAAAAGGAAAACCATGAAACTGATTGAGAAAACAACCACAAAAGGATAAGTTGTCAGAAGGACTGATGGAAAACTGATCTATTAAAGTATTAAAATCAATAAAGTGAGGTAAACATGCTACTGGAAGTCAGTTGCTCATGAAGAATATACAATGAAAAGTTAGGAATAAAAAAAGGCTGTAAATCATAATGTAAACCAACTGAAATAGAATCTAAAATTCTATGAAAAAATTGGTCTTTTTTGAATGATATGTGTGACTTTCACAATTTGGAACAAAGGGCTAAGGTGGCTAATGTAGCCAGAGCAGGAGTAATGCTTTATATAACCAAATCCTTCAGGGAAGAAATAACTTATATAACTTACTGTTTATAATATTCTCATAAAAATCTATAATACAGAAGATGAATTAAATGACAGGAAGAGGAAATTGTTTCTATATAGTCTTCACCAGCAAAGAAAAAGACTTCTTGCCTCACTGAAGCATGTTTTAAAAATTGGCAAATAAAACCATAATATGACAAAGAATTTTAACCTCCAGATATTTATAAGCATTGTAATTTAACAGGTAATGGAAATAAGAGGTTCAATGTCTTTTAACCCAGTTTCACACAGCTGGTAAGAGGGAAAAAAATAAACCAGAAGTGGGCATAGGTCAGTGAAAAATTTGAAAACTATGTCTCATAAAGAATTTTTTTCCCGTGCCAATCCTGGGGCTTGAACTCATGGCCTGGGTGCTGCCCTTGAACTTTTATGCTCAGATAGTGCTTCATGACTTGTGCCACAGCTCCACTTTTGGATTTTTTGGTGGTTAACTGGAGGTGAGCATCTCAGACTTTCCTGCCTGGGCTGGTTATGAACTGAATAACAAAGACTATTAACTGCTACAGGATTTGGGGGAGAAATATAAAATACTAGGCTCCCCTGGCTTCAATAGAAATGTGATATAGGTTCAAAAATAGCTGCCAATGGGGCTGGGAAGGTGGCTCAGTGGTAGAGCACTTGCCTCGCATGCCTGAAGCCTGGGTTTGATTCCTCAGCACCACATAAGCAAAAAGAAAAGAGCCAGAAGTGGCGCTGTGGCTCGAGTGGTAGAGCGCTAGCCTTGAGCTGAAGAGCTGAGGGACAGTGCCCAGGCCCAGAGTTCAGGCCCCACAACCGGACCCAAAAAAAAAAAGCTGCCAAGAAGAGAAGAAATAATAGGTGGCAATAAATAAGTTAAAACTGAATTTAAAAGATGCAAACACAGTTTTAAAAAGTTTACCTGTTCTGTTTCAAAGATATCCCGCAGGTGTTCAAGGCCAAGCGTTTTTAGGAACTGGCTGATATTCATGTCAAGACCCGCAACTAAAATAGAAAAATTATGAAGCTAAAGGAAACTTCAGTATCTAGTTTAAGCCATATATCCTGACACCTCTGGTTGGATGTATAGAAGATTTTACATAGTATCAAGTAGAATATAAAAGTTTTCTGTAAATTTTTTAAGGTATTCTGAGTTTGGTTGAGAAGTGAAAGCAGAGTGTTTTGTCACATATGTAATACTTATATTAATTCTAATAATGTAGGTGGAATACAGAAGTAAAATGAAAAATTACATATGTTGAGACTATAATACAGTATTAATTCTCACATAATAAAATGTATTTTATTATAGGATAAAATGGAGGATAGTTTACTATTTTTAATGAATTAAATATATAAATGTCCCAGCTCTTATTTTAGCTTTCATTCCTTAAATAACCTGTTTGAGTTTTCTGTCTGAATTTCAGTACTAAGACCTACTCACTCAACAATGGTTGGAAACTCAGGTATACATTATTAAGAACTTTTTATGGAGTGTTCTTTGTTTGTGTTTTTGAGACTGAGTTTTATCAGGTAGCTCAAATTGGCCTTGAGCTGTGATCCTCCTCAGACCCCACATAAAATATTTCTTACAACATGTTGTAAGTGTGAAAATTTACAGGATATCTATAAATGAAGTATTCAGTAAGATACAGATAAGCATTCACAGGAATTCCTACCTTCTCCTTCCTTCCTTTCTGTTCCAGCTGCACCATCCCCTGCATTGGAGGCCCCTCCCACTGCCAACTCTGCTAAAGGGCCAGTCAGGTTATCTATGCTGCTGGCAGCAGAGAGGCAGGAGGGAGTGGATGCTGGTGAGATGAGAGAGGCACTCACTACGGTTGCCTGAGGTTTGAAACAGGTAGGTAAGGCCTCTGGGGGCATGGCATCTATCAGCAATGCTCGGATATCGTCAGCCTAAAAATAATAATCATCAAACACAAAAATACAAGGTTATAATTTTTTTTAACTAAGTAGCCATTTTTTGTGATTTTTTTCTTTAATGATTAAGAAATGGTTAAACATGGTTATTGGTGTATATTAGTGGAATGAGTGTGGCAGTAAGAAAAATATAAGACGTGGCTGGGGCAGGAAGGAGGGCTTGGTGAATGTTTGTCAATCTAGAAATTAGGCAATTGCTACTGATGACTAAAGGAAGGGGAGCTTGGTTCTGTGTAGATTTTTGCCAATATTGGCACAGGAAAACATGAACCTAATGTACTTGCAGATGTGGCTAGGATTTCTATAAAGAACTCTGCCAAATGAACTGGCTGGCTTATCTGCACCTGATAAAGTACAGGAATGAACTGTAACTGTTTAGTTCACTTTAAATAAATATATTCATCTACAATTTGCTAGGTTGGAAAGTAAAATTATTCGGTATTCCAGCTTTTCCCCAGTAAAAGTTTCATTAAGTAAGAAATAGCCTCAAAGACCAAATCCAGAGTTCTGTCAATGAAACATGGCTTCAGAGAAAGTCAGATAATATCAGCCACACACAGAAGGTATAAGGTATTTTACTAAATAGAATTCTTAAAGGATACATGCTAGAATGCTTTCCTAAGATTCATGTTTCCCATTCTCACAAACTAAGTGGGCAGAATAGTTAGAATAGTTAACTTCTACTTTAACAGTTTTAAACAACATAAGAAATATGAACTTATGTATTCTTATTCTAAGCAAAGCTAAGTCTGATGGAAGGTAAACGTTCTTAGCCCTAGGATGTACCTCTAAAGTTATAAGGAGGATTGCCAAAAATCTGAAATGAAGACTTACGGTTGCCAAATCTAAAGGTGTCTGACCTTCTTGATTCTTCATAGTTGGATCTGCACCATGTGCTAGGAGTAGGGCACATAACTGTGTCCTTCCTTTTTGGGCTGCTTCATGAAGAGGAGTAAATGCCCACTTATCGGTTGCATTTACACATGTATTGTATTTGATTAGTAAAGCAGCTATGTCAACATGCTGAGAAAAACAAGAAAATGTAAATAGTTAGGCATAAGTAAAGTTCCATCATGTATACTTGTTTCTACTAACAACTTACTCTATACTCGTATTTCATGACTCTATCTATATTTTGGACTTTTTTTTGGACTTGCTTCCTTTGAGGACGCAAGTTTCAGTTATTTTTTTTACCCTGTAATTCTGCACGTAACTTTTTTTTTAGTCTTCTAACATATTCAGTTTTATTTTAAAAACACATAAAATGAACTTGCTCAGGTTGTCAAGTCTTCTATTAATGGTTCAATCCACTGGTTCTCTTCTAATATTCATATTTGTCTTCTAACCTGCTATGATCAGATTTAGTTATTAAGATGCTAATTGCAAAGATTCTGTCTTTTTTCCAACCTTTGGGAAAGTAGCATAATAAAATGAAAATTTATAAAAAAAATAGTTTGCAGTGTTAAAAATGATTTAGAGGAGAAAAAGTGAGTGGAATGAGGTGATGAGACCCTAAGTCAAGAATGATAATGAAGAGCTAAGTTCAGAAGTTTTTGAACCCAGTATTCACTGGTGGCTTACAGCTGTAATCTAGCTATTTAGGAGGCTGAGATCTGAGGATTGCAGTTCTAAGCCGGCCTATATAAGAAAGTCTGTGAGACTCCCATCTCTAATCACCAGAAAACTAGAAGTGGAGCTGAAGTTCAAAGTGGCAGAGTGTTAGCCTTGAGTAAAAAAAGCTCAGGGATAGCCAGGCACCAGTGGCTCATGCCTGTAATCCTAGCTACCCAGGAGGCTGAGGTCTGAGGATCAGGGTTCTAAGCTAGCCCAGGCAGGAAAGTCTGTGAGACTTATCTCCAGTAAACCACTAGAAAACCAGAAGTGGCACTGTGGCTCAAGCGGTAGAGCGCTCGCCTTAAGCTGAAGAGTGCAGGGACAGCGCCCAAGCCCAGAGTTCAAGCCCCATGACGGACTAAAAAAAAACAAAACAAAAGCTCAGGGACAGTGGCCTAGACCCTGAGTTCAAGCCTCACAACCAAAAAAAAAGTTTTGAAAGAGGGAAAAAGGGGGGTTTAGAAAAACATTCACTACAAAAAAAGCACATGAAAAGTCAGATAACTATGGTGGTAGGGGAGGAGTTTACAGAAGATTAAAAAATAAAAGACTACTAGAAACTAGGTAGAAAGGAAAATGTAAGAAAGGTTAAGACTCTCTTGTAGTATATGGCTTTTGAAGTAAAGTATGAATGCAATGATACTCTGTAACTAGTTTGGTGGAAAACACTGGAACACAGAGGAGAGGCCATCATTTATTTATTGGCTTACCCTCTCCTACCCACTCACCCAACAACCCTAAACACTAGCTGAATATCCAGTAGGGTCCTGAAATTTAGGATAAGGAACTCTGGGGTACTGCACTAACAGTTCTAGCTATATGACAAATGAGCTCAGTAAGAAGTGTACTACAGAAAAACTATTATAAGGGAGATAAAGTCTACTAACATCACTATTTTGGAAAAGGAGAATAGACAAAAGGGGTAATAAGTACAGAAAAATTTTTAATGAAGAAAGCTCCTAATGTGGCCGGGTGCCAGCTGGCTCATGCTTATAATCCTTGCTATTCAGAAAGCTGAGATTTGAGGATCAAGGTTCAAAGCCAGCCCAGGCAGGAAAGTCTATGAGACTCATCTCCACTTAAATCAGCAGAAAACTGGAAATGGTGCAGTGGCTCACAGTGGTAGAACACTAGCCTGGAGTTCAAGCCCCATGACCAACAAAAAGAAAAAAAATTTTAATAGGAACATGAAACATTGATTCAACAATTAAGACTTTTTTGTTTTGGTTCTGGTACTGGGGCTTGAGCTCAGGGTCTCTTGCTTAGCTTTTCTACTCATTTTACTACTTGAGTTACACCTCTGTTTCTAGCTTTTTGCTGGTTATTAGAAGTAAGAAGAGTCCCTTGGTTTGTCTGCCTTGGCTGGCTTCAAGTCTTGGTCCTCAGATCTCAGGCCCCTTAGTAACCAGGATTACAGGAGTAAGCTATTGGTATTCAGCTAACAATTAGATTATAAATAATATTAAGAATAATTTTTTATTTTGAAAACATTTAGAACTATTAGATTGGCAAAATAGTAATCATTAAGTACTTCTGAGATCCATTTCAGATTTTGGGTACTTGACACCTTTTGGATAACTGGTCACTTTTAATAATTCAGAAGCACATTTTCTGCTGAGAGTTCCTTTTAACTCATGATTCTGCTTAACTATATTATACTGAACTCTTTGGACTGATGTGAAAATGGATAAGATGGAGAGGAAAAAAGAAAGATTCCGAGATAAAGGGTCTCTTGAAGATATACTGACTTTGAAAAAGAACAAGTACTTTTCCTGAGACAGTATTAAAGGTTTTTCGGAAAGTACAATAATTACTGATTTCATGAATTTCAATTTTGAAGAACAAAATGAAGAAAATTTATCTTATATGAAAGTATACGTGAATTATCTCCTAAAAAATGTTTCCTACAGCTGGTAATATATGGCCAAAAGGGGAAAAAAAGGCAGTACACTCAAACTAGCTGGGACTTTGATAATTACAAAATTAACTTTAAACTTTACAACATGAAAGATGGAAACAGTGGTCCCATCTATCAAAATAAAACCTAGTAATTTATCTCCCTTATTCAATGAATGTGTGTGGGAAAGACCAATTTTTGCTCAGCAAATCCAAAAATATGGAGTAATTTCAATCCTCTCCCAAGTGAGGTTATAAGCTCTTACTGTGCTTCTGATGATTAATTTTTCTCTATTTCCATGTTCACTCTAATAATAATATTATTTAGTAGACTAATTTACATGGACTTCTAAAATTAGATATTCCAAGGAAAATTATGAGTTTGTCTATGTATATGTATATAAAATGAGTTATGTATTATTAAACTTTTTTTATGTTGAATTTGTAGCCTCTGCTTAGAGAAACCAATTACATGTTTGTTGAATCTGCTGACAAACATCTGAAAGAGCAATGGACAGGAAGGAGTTTATCACTATTCAAGTACACTAAAAACAATGCTTAAGCTAAGCCCTTTAATTGTTTTAAGTAGCTATACCACTGGAACAAAAATAGTAACTGAAAATTAAGACCCACAAATCCAATAAATATGCTGCAGCTCAGCTCTCGTCACTCTATAACAACAAAATATTGAACTGGAAGATCTAGAAAAGGAACTCAACTTGGTTGGAATATTTCTAGGAGAAAAAGCCAATTTAACAGTGTTTTGGAATCCAACTACAATAGAAATGCTTTAAATGACAATACAACATAAAAAGACTGAAATGCTTTAATTTTGGAAAGGTGGGAAGGATGGGAAGAAGTGTCTAGGCTCCAGCTAAAGTTACTTAAGCTGAGCACTGGTGGCTCATGACTATAACCCTAGCTACTCAGAGGATTAGATCAGAAGATTGAGGTTCAAAGCCAGCCCAGGTGAGACTCTTATCTCCAATTAACCACGAAAAAGCCAGAAGTGGAGTTGTGGGCTCAAGTGGCAGAGTGCTAGCCTTAAACTAAAAAGCTAAGGAACGATGCCCAGGCCAACTTTAAGATAACACACAGTCTTTGTTTTGAAGTCATAAGATCCCTCACATATTTTTTTAGGGAAAATATTGGAATATAAAAAAAAATTGAGAGAAAGCTAACCAACGGATTGACATGCATTGTGGTGAAAGATGTGAGAGATAAGTCAATATTTTACATTTATTTAATAGCAAAGAAATGAACTGTCCTATGGAAGTGTACATTAAAAAACACAAGGCAAACTGGGTGCCAGAAGCTCATGCCTGTAATCCTTGTTACTTAAAAGACTGAAATCTGCAGGATTGTGGTTCAAAGCTAGCCTGGTAATCCCTTTGAACCTATCTCCAAAATAGTCAGGTTGGAGGTGTGGCTCAAGTAGTAGAATGCCAGCAGTGAGCAAGAAAACCCAGCAAACATGAGGTCCTGAGTTCAAGCCCTGCTAAAGGAGTAAAAAAACCACACAAAGCATTATACTAAACAGAATAAGATACATTGCCATTAGTATAAACTTTCATGAACCTTGTAAAGCTTCTTAAAAGTGTATGTTTGCTCTCCACTTGGAAAAACTGACATGGCAATCCTTTTTTATATAGAAGATAGGTACAGATACACAGCCCAAGCTCTCCAGGGTAAAAAATGTTAACGATGTACTGAAGAATAATCACCAAAACATAAATGTATACCTAAATAATTATGTGTTTTGAGACATCTCATTTTATTATTTTTATCTCCAGGCTAATCATTTAATCTGTGTCTACTTAATTGTGATGTTGAGCTGGTCAAACATTGGTTTGTCCTTTAGTACAGGATAAGGGCATGCAGCCCTTATTCTGACTGGCTTAGTACAGGGACTTCAGGAAGTGAGTTTTCTTATAACAAGAGTGTTATCTTTCAGTTTTACAGTGCCCATAGCTTACAGAATATACTTCACACATGCACTGACTCATGGAATCATTCTTCCCCCTCTAGGGAGTGATGGAGGCTAGAAGGAGAAAAAGGATAGGACACAGAAGACAATATGGGGGGACTTACTGTAGTTTACAGTTAAGAGTGTCATATGAGCTTCATTATAGCAGATCATTCTACTGCTACAACCTACCCTTACAGAGGATGAAAGATTATGATTTATCTCCAAATGATCCCATTATCCCATTAGCTTTTTAAGGGTGTATTTATACACCTTTAATAGAAACTTAGAAAGGGATTAGTAAAATACAATATGGAGGGAAGGACCATGCTAAATGTTGAAAATGAGACTCCAAATGGTATACATGTATACTTACAACTTAAAGATAAAAAGATTATACAAAAAAGAATATGTAGTGCATTAGTAACAGGTATTTGCATAACAGATATACAGTGGAAATAGCTGTTGCACAATGAAAATGGGAATTTATGTGAAGGAATACTAAAAGGAAATTCTGAAAATGTTAAAAAATCACCTCTGGAAAGAAAAAATTCAATATTATAATTTTAGTATATAAGTTTGTGTGTAATTTGTTATGTGTATAATTTTATTATATATGTATGTGTATGTATATATATAAGTATATATATACTTATATATATATAAGTATATATATACTTATATATATATAAGTATATATTCATACACACATATATAGCTATATAATAGAATAATCTTCAATTAGTTTATACCATGCTTGGAAATAAAATTTCTTTTCTGTTTATTCAACTGAAGTGGAGTATTAGTCAAGATTGGTCATTGCATAATGGGCTGAGAAAGCTGTGGATACTGTGAAGAGCAAGGGAGAAGAGTATGAAGGGAAAATATGAAGATCAAGGTGGTAGGTTTGGATTTTATTTATAATTTATCAGGGCTTTGCAAATCTAAGAAGCATCCTCTCTTCAGCAGAGAATCCCACTGTGAGGCCACCTGGCATCTGTGGATTTGTATAGTCAAACAGTGATATGAGGAAGAATAGGCAAGCACAGAAACACTTCTTACTTCTACTGCAGCAAGGAGAAGGCTGTAATGACTGACAGCCTGTTCTGACAAATGGCACCTAGGCATAATAATATATTCTTCTTCTAGTTGATGTTTATAGTTACAGTGTTTGAAAAGATTATTCTGGACTCTTTTTTTTTGGTTGGTCATGGGGCTTGAACTCTGGGCTTGGGCGCTGTCCTTGCGCTCTTCAGCTCAAGGCAAGCGCTCTACCGCTTGAGCCACAGCGCCACTTCCGGTTTTCTAGTGGTTTATTGGAGATAAGAGTCTCGTGGACTTTCCTGCCTGAGCTGGCTTTGAACTGTGATCCTCAGATCTCAGCCTCACGACGGCGGCATGAACCACCAACGCCCAGCCTATTCTGGACTCTTAACTGTGGATTTTACTTCATCTGAACACTATCAAATTCTATCTCCACTACTCAACCACTTGCTTGAATATTTAAGATGCTAAATAACATAAACAAGCGTAAGAGTCCCCTGGCTTTTATAGTTTCTAAAGTTTACTTCAGGTAAAGTTGAAAGTATTTTATTTGTGTCTACAAATATCAGATAATGTAGAGAGTGCAAAAAGTTTTAAAAAGCATAGCTGTTGGACAAATGCAGTTAAATTTAACTGGAATGAGATGACAAAGATTGATATAAAATTAGAGACGTACTGAATAATGCTGTTAGATATCTGGTCCTTAAGGGTGTATACATTCAATAGAGCAGGAAGTGCCACCAATTCTTGATTTTAACTTGAACTCACCCCATAAGATGCAGCATTATGAAGAGGAATTAAACCACCTTTGTCCTGGGCATTTACATCTGCTCCATGTTCTAGAAGATATTCAGCTACTTCCAGGTTATTATAGCCCGCTATTGAGAGTAAATATGACAAACAACATAAGAGGAAAAAAAATTAAATATTCATGGATAACGACCAGAAAACTTTAAGATTTAAAATTTTCACTTTAAAAGCTAATACTACTCTCAGATAAAAGCCTTCAAAAGGAAACTGAACAAAACATGTCAATCAGCAGCTTGGCACCAAGTATTATCCTCAGTTCCTCGTGTTTCTCTCAGCTTTTGGTGAGTGGTTATTTAAGGCAGGAGGGTGAGATCTGTAAGCAACCTGGTGCTCACCTGCCAGATGCAGCGGAGTGGAATTCCTGCCCTGGGTGTCTCTGCAGTTGATATTCTCTGGTGTACAAAGTTTCTGCACTCTTGCCAGGCAGCCCTTCTTGGCAGCATCCAACAAGGCAGCATCCCCTCTCAGCAAGTCTTGAATATCTGTGTCTCCTTCTTTGACCAAATCTAGAGGTGTATTTCCATCTCTGTTTTTTTTAGTTGGATCTGCTCCATGCTACAAAAGAGGAAAACCAAATAGAATGTGTACTTTCTGTAAGGAGGTGGGAAGGCAGTGAACAGGGATACCTTTATGGATTTCACTTACAACGTATCTTCATATACCTGGAAAGATATATATATATATGTATATATATGTTCTTTATGCATCTTGTAAAAGAAAAACATCATCTTGCATTGTTATATAAATTCTTAATTTAAGTTACTATTTAATGATGAAGAAGGGTTGAGTTATCTCTTACCGTCACATAATATACTTTTTCCTTTAATTATGGAAGGATATTCCAAGGTATTACAATAAAGAAGAAAGAATAAGAAGACACAGATGCAAAAAGTATCTAAAAGGTCACTGGTAAGACAAATACTTCAAATTGTTTTTTATATTTTCATTAAGTCTTAACAACTATCACAATATTAGGGATAAATGCATTAAAATTACCTTGACTTTAAAAAGTTTAATTACTTATACCTATGAAATAAACAAAAATCAATGATTTTTACTAAAGGCCTGATACAGATTGCTGCCCCACTGTAGAAATTAAGAATAATTCAAGCTAAACCGAGTTGTAATGACCTGGAAGTTATTCCACACCAACTATTGCCAAATATACTGAGTTTCAAGACTCATGCCCTTTTCTGAAAATAGAACATATAAATGTATATATGGTCATTTTTCCTATGGCTCTTAACTTAAAAATATGTAATTATTGATTATTATTAGGTTCATAAATTACTACTTCTACTATGTCACATATATTCCCCAAATCTATTTAAACAATTGTGTGTGTGTGTGTGTGTGTGTGTGTGTGTGTGTGTGTGTGTGTGTGTGTGTGTGTGTGTGTGTGTACTGTGTATACTGGGGCCTGAACTCTGGCCCTTTTCTTGCTAGATAAGCACTCTACTACTGAGCTACCTCTTTAGCCTAAACTGTATTTTAAAAAGCATCTGATATTTGAGTTTTCATAGATATCTATGTTTGATAATGAGTTAGTTAACAATAATAAAATAACAGGAAAAAGACCAACTAGAGCGAAGAACTTGTTACTCCTTGTACCATTTTCAAGCAATGCAAACTGAATCAAAACCCACTGTGACGAAATAACACTAATCAAATCCACTTAGAAATACATTACAGATGCTACTCAGACAGGAAATGGAAATAATCTCTATACTGCTTATTATTTTTAAGACAAATACACTGATTTGATTTCAAGTAACAACCAAAACCCAGACGGTTACTTTATAATTTTGAATGTCTAAACTACATACTTTTAGGAGGAGCTTGCAGATTTCATATTTTCCTTTGGCTGCTGCTTCATGGAGCGGGGTAAATTTCCACAAGTCGGCCACATTGACAGATGCCCCATGCCTCACTAAGAGCTCAGCGACCTCATAGTGCCCATAGGAACAGGCATTGTGGAGGGGCACCAAGCCACTAAACACAAGAAACAAATCTTTGAGTCAAAACAATTGTCTTAAAAGTGATACTCTTCTGTAGAATTTAGCTGTGCTCAGTACTCAGTCAAAAAAGAAGTAATTTTCATTTGGTCTTTTAAGATATAATCAGCCACTTTTTTGTTTTGTTTTGTTTTGTTTGTAGTGGGGCATAACTCTGGGCTTGGGTGCTGTCCCTCAGCTCTTCAGCTCAAGGCAAGTGCTCTACAGCTTGAGCCACAGCGCCACTTCTGGTTTTCTAGTGGTTTATTGGCGGTAAGAGTCTCATGGACTTTTCCTGCCCAGGCTGGCTTTGAACTGCGATCCTCAGATCTCAGCCTCCTGAGTAGCTAGGATTACAGGCATGAGTCACCGGCGCCCGGCTTAATCAGCCACTTTTAATGAGAGTTAATAATTTTTTTTAATGGTCCTTTAAATGTCAGGGCTTTTCTTCTGTTTCCTGGGAGTGGATGGATATACATGTCACAGCAATCATTAGTATTAAAGTACATATGGGAAGATACTTCCAAAATAAAATTCCAGGACAATATTTAACTCAAGATTTTAAAATATAAAAATTGATGCCAACTTTATAAATCCATAACTAGTTATCAATCTGGCTTCACCATCTTTCACATTTTCTTCTTTTGGGATTTTACTAATAAAAATTGTAGCTGGGTGTGGCCTATAAGCCCACATTTGGAAGCTGAGGCTAGAGATTTCCAAGTTTGAGGCTAAGCTTGAATACACAGTGACAGAGAAAGAAAATGAGAATTGTATACTTAACTTCCAAGACACACAATGAAATTCTACTTACTTGAGCAAGTTCTAGTTTTAGGGTATTTTTCCCTGTTTTTGCAAATTTTATTTCATTTTTGGCAATGCTGACTGAATCAGGGCCTTGTATTTACTAGACAAGCAATCTACCAACGGAGCTTTTTCCCTAGCCTTTGCTTCTGAATATTTTCCTTAGTAATGATCTGTTATGTTTCCAAGATTAATGGTTTAGATATTGAGGTGCTACACAGTGAAAATTTGCAACACAGTGATTCTGATATTCACAAGGGAAAATAATGATGAACTTTTTTCTTTTTTCTTAATGTTTGGCAGAACTCAAAATTGAACTTAGAGCCTCATGCATGCTAGGCAAGTGCTCTATGATCCGTACTATAAACTTGTTCAAAGATTTTACAGAGCTAGTAGGGTGTGGATTCTTCTGTTTTGGTGGTAGTGGTGGTGGTACGGGGTAGGTGGTGGTTGGGGTTTGAGATCAGTCTTGCACTTACTAGACAAGTGCACACTACTTGAGGTGTCTGTAGCTCAATAACAAAGATAAGAAACTTTTTTATTTCCTTAACTTACTAGCAAAATTATTTTGAGGTAATTTAGGACAAAAAGATGCTTCATAAAAATGGGTTTATCAGAAAGGTAAGTTACATTTAAGATATGTCAAAAACAAGGTAAGACTTGCCTTTTTATTTAGAGATTAATGCCACTTGGAAAAATGTTTGTGCAGCTGGGCATAGTGGCTAGTGCCTGTAATCTCAGTTACTCAGGATGCAAGACTGGGACTGAAGTTCATGGCCAGTCTAGGCAAAAAATTAGAATCCATCTCAACAAATAAGCAGAGAGTAGTGTGCATGCCTGTGTCACAGCTAGATGGACGATAACTATAAGGCAGGAGCACTGGTCTTGGACAAAAGTCCAGACTCTATTAGAAAAAGACAAAAAAGGGTTGGGGTGTGGTATATGAAGCAGAGCAACTACTTAGCAAGTGCAAGGCCTGGACTTCAAAAATCCACAGTAATAGCCCAGTGCCAGTGGCTCACACCTGTAAGCTGAATCCAGAGGCTGAGATCTGAGGATCTCAGTTTGAAGCCAGTTAGACAGGAAAGTCCCTGAGATTCTTATATCTAATGAATTACCAAAAAGCTGGAATGTAGCTGGGTTCAAGTGGTAGAGCACTAGTGCCCTTAGTTCAAGCCCCAGGATCAGCACCCCAAAGGAAACAAATCCCTAGTACTTAAAAAAAAAAAAAAAAAAAAGCTTTGCAGGGTGTTAAAATGAGTAATAGGATAGAAACAAATATTGGTTGTTCTCTAATGTACTGTACTATTTGAAAGTCCCAGTAGTATAATTATTGAATGTTATGTATAATGCAGCTCTTTAAAAAGATAACTAAACACATGATGGTAAGTAAAGCCTAAAAAATGCAGTTTCATCCTATAGTATATGGCTATGTAATTGCACAGAAAAATGTTGTATTGATATGAAATTTGTATTGATATGAAATTAACTCAAGAGTGGGAAAACTCAATCTCTTTATACATTTCTGAGTAAGTTCCATGACTGCTTTACATTCTGCCTGGATAAAGTCAAATAATTTACCAAACTACCACAAAACATAGAATATTTTAAAGTATTTTAAAATGTAGAATATTTTGTTTGGTAAAATGTTTAATAAAAATAAAATTATGTTTCTGTTCATATGGATGCCTCTGGAATGGATAGTTTTTTGGAAAAGATTATGTATGTTTAACAAGTAAAGGGGGAGATAAATAACAAGCAATATGAAAGCCTTCATATTATGAATGCAATAAACCCAATAGATGAGCCTTAAGATATTCAGATGAGCTACTAAATACTGATATATTACTGGGTAAAAGAAAGCAAACTATAAGGCAGACTGTATAGGATGGTATCATTTTTGTTAAATCTGCCACTATCACATATACCCTAGATTACCATTTGAAATAATTACAGAATTACATGCAAAAATGTTATGTTTTATCTGCAGAGAATAGGATAATAGTTTTCTTTTCTTTTTCTTTTTTTTTTTGTCAGTCATGGGGCTTGAACTCTGAGCCTGAGTGCTGTCCCTCAGCTTTTTAACTCAAGGCTAGAACTCTACCACTTGAGCTACAGCGCTACTTCCAGTTTTCTGGTAGTCTATTGGAAATAAGAGTTTCACAGACTTTCTTGCCTGGGCTGGCTTTGAACTGCAATCCTCAGATCTCAGCCTTCTGTGTAGCTAGGATTACAGGTGTGAGCTAATGGTGCCTGGCAAATTTTCATTTTTTGTACAGTAAGTTTCTTTTTTTTTTTTTTGTCAGTTGTGGGGCTTGAACTCTGGGTCTGGGTGCTGTCCCTCAGCTCTTCAGCTCAAAGCGAGTGCTCTACCACTTGAGCTACAGCGCCACTTCCTGTACAGTAAGTTTCTGTATTTTAATTCATATTAATATTTTTTTAGGTCTCACATCAGGACTTGAACTTGTACCTGACACTTCAGCTTCTATCCAACCACTCATTATTTTTTAAGGGGGAAAAAAGCTAAAACTTCAAAAACATTTAACATATCTTACAACGTATGAAAGGAATAAATCCCAAACAGCTGAGTTTTCACATACCCCTTGTCTTTGGCATGGACATCGGCACCATGGTGTAGAAGGTACTCCACGACAGACACACGATTGTAACCTGCCGCGAAGTGTAAGGGGGTAGAATGCCGGCCCTCCAGGTCTCTGCAATTCACATTTTGTGGGCTGCAAAGTTGCTTTTATGATGCAAACAGAGACAAACACAAAAGGAATAATATTTATTCTTAGATTTTTCTCTATAATAGGGTAACATCTTAGATATACCATAATTTCTAATGAATACTTCTAAAGATTAGAAACACACATGATGTCTCAAATAAAGCATTATGCTTAACTTTCAGTGACTACACATTCTCATCATGTAGATGATCATTTCATCTGTCAACATCTCCTGGCCCAAATCCTAAAGAACAAGACAGGCACTTCCAAGCATATGAAGCCTTCCTCTTCCCTGTAAGTCTTCCCTCCTGAGACTGCTTGTCACTATGTATTTGCTTGAATTACAATGCTCTTAGCTATTCTTTGGTCAAATAAGATCTACAGGTAGACTACAGAGCTAGAGTTCCTGTCTGCTCTAATGTAGATCACGCAGGCAAAATGGTTCTGGAAAATGATTTTTCTGCTTGGGCCATTCGCTTGGCCCTTTGATTCACTATAGTAAAGCCACACAGTAAATGCTTTATGTGGTTTGGGGAAGAAATTTAACTCTACAAGTCATATTTTAACTTTCACCTTTACTTCCATCTCTTTGAAGATGTCCTCCAAATCTATTCTCTGCCTCCTTTTGTTTCTTTCAGTGTTACTCAGCACAATCACAATATAATTTCTAAGCTTAGTTACATTTGTTTACAAAACAGGAGGATGTAAAGAAAGGAATGAGGTCACCTCATCAATGGTGATAGATAAATTACAATAATAGTATTTGAAAAATAATTTACAGTTTAAAAGAAGTCACTTTCTTTCAGTAGGGGAACTATGAAATCTGTGAGGTTAACCATCACCTCCATTTTTACAGATAAGTAAACCAAGGGCAGAATGAAGACAAAAGCCACTCTACTGATCTTTTTGCCATGATCATGGCCTATTTTCTTAATTATCTGATTGCAGGGAAGTGATGCCAAGGGGGATAAAAAGAAGTCAAAGAACATAAAGCAAAGAGGGGCATTTTTCTATACTGCCAGGCTTGATGCAGAGGCTTCTGGCATTTGCCAATCTTGCTGCCACTCCTGCCAATGAAATGAGCTACTCTTCTTTAAGAACTTGAACGATCTCCTTTTCTACTGAGATCTTGACTGGAAGTCTGATTTGAATATTTGTGTCCCTCCAACATTTGTGTTGAAACAACTCCAATGCAACAGTATAAACAGGTGTAGCCTTTACAGGATGGTTAAGTATGAGTAAAAAATTAGTAGTAAATAGTTTTTATGGCATCTTATATGCTGAAGATGTCCATGACGTTACTTTCCCCCAGATTCTTATATTCCAAATAATCATTTAGTTCCTTTTACAGAGAATATTGGGAGATGGAAATGAGGCAAGGAAGTAGGAGCTTCAAAAGGCAAAAGCCTATCTACTTATTAAATATTTGCAGTTTTTTATTCTATTTCATTACTTTTGAATTCTAAAGCAATTTTACATCTTTCCTCCTTTTATAATTTTAAACACTTAACTCAGCAAATAGCCTTTTTGTCTAGCATATAATTTCTAATACTTTCTAAAGCAGAAGGTCAGTCGTGGGGCCTTAACTCTGGGCCTGGATGCTGTCCCTCACTCTTCAGCTCAAGGCTTGCGCTCTACTACTTAAGCCATAGTGCCAATTCCGGCTTTTTCTGCTTATGTGGTGCTAAGGAATCAAACCCAGGCCTCATGCATGCAAGGCAAGCACTCTACCACTGGGCTACCTTACCAGTCCCAGAAGGTCTAATTTTTCATCTGTAAAGCCTTGTTTTGCTTGGACATTTGTATTCCTTTGATAAAAACAAATGTGACTCTCATTGTGAATGCACTCTTTATGAAACATAAAGGCAGTAGTCTATGAAATATATATTAATTATAATAAGCACATGTAGCAATTCTACTGGTTTGGATTTGAGTAGCTCTACTCAGAGGTTTAACAATGAATTGGATAGCAAATTTCAAGAGAGCCACTCCAGATGTTAAGGGCATTGATTTACCTTCACAGTTTCCAAATCACCAGCTTTCGATGCTTCCAAGAGTCGGTAGTCCACATCTGAAGTACGTATAGGTGTGCTCTCTGTGTAAAGGAAAAGAAAGGTTACTGCTGGTCTTAGACGTGACAGGGAGGATGTGATGAGATTAAGGGGTTGGAAATTCCTGGGATGCAGTATTTCCTCCAACTTTCCCAGATCAGAAATAACTGCTTTCTTACCTCAAGCTGTATCTACCTTATCCTAAGCCAAATTAAAAAAAGAAACCCTCTAATAAACACAAATCCTTTTCTATCCCTACCATTGTATCTATATATCTATCTATTTATTTATTTATTTTTGCTCAAAACATTGAAAATGGGAGGAAAGCTAGAACCAAGGGATCCAAACACCTTTTCTAATACATTTACAAAGCTTTGCCATTGATCTAGCCACTTAACTGCTATTACTCACTGGTTCATTTTTCTTTTAAGCTTCAATGTCCTCAATATAAAGAAACACTACTCCTGAAATTAGAGTGATTGTAGAATGCATAATCAGTCAACACCGAAGCCTGCTATAGACACTGTAATGTTCACACTGACTGAATGTGGTCAGGGAAATGCAATTAAAAATGTCTGCATAACTGGAGGGTATGATACCAAAGCTAATTAGAATACTGACTAAATAGAGACTGACAAATGTAGATATTTTCATTAACTGAATATAATTGAAAATTCATTCTACACTGGTCCAAATAAATAGGGTCTTAAAAAAAAGTTTATATCACCACAGACATTAAGTATGGCTTTTACAAGAAGCACACCTCCACATAAAAGTGCTGAGCTTCAGAGATCAGGACATTCAGTCGGCACTTTATCATGGAAAAATCATGTCATTTTCATTTTTATAGTTAAAAAGGGAAAGTTAGTTTGCCTAAAAGTCTCTTTCAGGTTTAAGACTACATTATCTTATTATCAGAGATAGCTTTTGAGTCCACCGTCCAGGTGGGAAGATCAAGTGAGACTATGAAAAAGGTTTTAGATTTCAGAAGAAATACTTCAGCTCTTCTAAAGCGCTTTGTTACAAGAATTACTTTTATAAAATCTACATTGCAAGAATTCTTCAATGGAAGATAAACTATTTATCTGAACCTTTTAATGACACATAGCAGATAAAATACTAAGATTCAAGAGAAGAAAAAGTAAGTTTCATGTAATAAAACAATTTTGAATTGTTCTTCATTAAAAGAGAGTACTGTATTACATTTGTTAGTGTGTGAAATTGTTGAGGAAAGGAACTACACCCTCACTTATCTTCAGATTCCTTTGTTCACAGAGACTATTCAGAAGGCATTTGCTTTTCTGTTGAGGTCAATTTGTCAAATCTTGGCTCTTTCTTTGGTTGCCTTTATTGTGTTCTTGCCTGAATCAGGTCTCCACTCTTAAGTATAATATACGATTGCATTCACAGGCAAGGATGTTTCTGCATCTATATCATGTTGCTATAACTGTGTCTCTGGCAGTTAATAAAACTTACTACAACATCCTGTGGATATCTGGAGGCATTTTTACTTTATCATCTGAACAAACAAAAAGAACGATTATATACATAGAGTTAAAACTTTGGATATTTTTAGATGTCAGCATTGGAAAGACACAATTAATAAGGATATATAATTTGAACTGTAAGAATTTGAAGTTGACACACCTATCTTTTTGGGGGGGTTAGGGAAGACTGATCCTTGAGCTTGAACTCTGGGCCTGGGCACTATCCCTGAGCATTTGTGCTCAAGGTTAGCACTCTACCAACTTGAACTACAGCTCTACTTTTGGCTTTGAAATGCTATCCTCAGGTCTCAGCCTCATGAGTAGCTAGGATTACAGGTATGGGCCACTAGCTCCTGGCTAGGTACAACTATCTTGATGGAGGATGCCCAGTCAAGGGTGTAATTTTCCAATCAGGTAAGGTGTATTATACATATATAAGAATATTTTTTAAAACTATGAGAAAGAGTTAAAGTATTTATATTTTAACCAAGAAAGGATACTACAATTTCATAATAGCGTAAATGAAGTTAAGAATGACAAAGTAGGTTGCACTATTTCACATATAAGGACAATTAATTAAAATTTATTACCAAAAATAAATAAATAAAAGTTATTACCAGAGAAATGATTTTTAATCTTCTCTATTTCATTGGTATTATAGCTACCATAATTCCATCTGTTCATATGAATTTCTAGTCCCCTTTGATGTTACCCATGAATCAGTCTTTCAAACTAAAAAAACTAAAAGTGTGCCTCCTTCTTTTTTATGAAACCTTCCTTATCTCACTAAAAGATGGAGATAGGAAAGACTACAGGTTAAAATACAAGCAAGGGAAGGTATGACAAAAATATTATGGCCAACAAAAACACTATAAAGAGCTACTTAATACAAGTGGCGTCTAGATCTGGGCATTTTGGCGGAGAGGGGATAGAAAGTGTGAAGTCTAATGAAGCTCCTTTGACTCACCACTCAGGATCTGCTGCACTGCTTCATTCCCCATCTGTGCTGCAGTGAAGCCTTGTAGGGAGATGATGGAAGGATCAGAGCCATAGCTCAGTAGGAGGCGGCAGGTCTGCAGATGACCTGCTAGTGCAGCTCGATGCAAAGCAGTCTGACCAAGGGTGTCCAGTGCATTCATCTGAAACATCATTGGATGGGCACGTGAAATTAAAGCATCCCTTTATTCCTACTATACATTCTTTTATTCTTTTCTTTTCTTTGGCCACATAACAAAGCTGTTTATGAATACAAGAGAAAAACTAACTATGAAAGTTTTTTAGAAAATACCAGATATTCATTATTAACTTTTGCTCACTGGTTCTAAAAGTATTATCTTCTATTTAGTTATCCTTTTTGAGTAACTTATTGAAATATCACATGCCTTTCCCTCTCCTAAATGATCATCTTCCCATTTTCTACTTCCTGACACTCTCCTTAACAACCAGAAAGATCTATCAAGTTAAATTAATTTTATTAATACAGATTGAACTATATAGAGGCTCTAGGTCTTCTAGAAGGTTCCTGATAAGGGAATGTAGTACATTTTCAGATACATGATGGTTGTTTAAAACATTTCCACTATAACCCCTTTGCACACCTAGGTTAGGAAAAGGATTTGAGGCAATTGTTTTCCCAATTTTCAGTCTGATTACTACTAAAGCTGTCGTTCTTGTTCAGGTAAGAATTCATTTAGATTCCTCATAATTTTTCATAAAACACACCATGAGATATCAATGTATTTAATTCCATCACATTTTCCAGCAAAAAAGCTGTTTATGCATAACAAGAGAAAAACACAATCATTGACACTTATCAATAGAAAAATTAAGCTGCCAAACTAATTTTTGTACAAATATCTTGTTATTTCAGTATAGGAGGGGTTTGGACATGGGGCTTGAACTCTGGGCCTGGGCGCTGTCCCTCAGCACTTCAGCTCAAGGCAAGCATTCTACCACTTGAACCACAGTGCCACTTCCAGTTTTCTGAGTGGTTTATTGGAGATCATTCCTGCCCAGGATGGCTTTGCACTGCGATCCTCAGTTCTCAGCCTCTTGAGTAGCTAGGATTTCAGGCATGAGCCAAAGATGCCCGGCATTATTCATAATTTTTAAAGAGCACTATAAATGTTATGAAATACTTCAAAAACAGTCAGTGAGAACCATGATGCTCATAAGTGTAGCAGAAAGCTCACTTAGCATAGTGTTTTAAGCCTACTGTTAAAACAATAATGTAGTAAGTACCTAAAAACTAAGCAAGAAGCCTGTACAATTTTGTTCCCTTTCATTTTAGCTCAGTGTAATGAAATTCAACATATCAAAGTCCCTTTAAAGGAAATATTTAAATCCCATATCCTATAGGTAAGAAAATTTCAAGAACTCTTGCAATATACATATACATATTTATAAAATTCTAGCCAAGCTGTACTATTATAATGCATTGTGGATAAATATAAAAAGAACAATCACAAATGATGGAAAAATTAAATAATTAAAATTTAAAAACATTTTAATTGCTATGATGTAAAACAGTCCTTGGCTCTATTTAAAATTTAAAATCTTATAGAGAATTATCATTATGATTTGAGGGACTGATTATAGGTTTAGTTGTGATAGTTAGAAAATTCTATTTTTATGTTTTTAAATTACAGTTATATATAGATATGATGGCCAGGCAATACATTTAATTTTAGCAAAGTCACAGAATATTATAAAAATCTCTATACAGGGGCTGGGAAGGCGGCTTAGTGGTAGAGCGCTTGCATTGCATGCCTGAGGCCCTGGGTTCGATTCCTTAGCACCACATAAGCAAAAAGAAAAAAGCTGGAAGTGGCACTGTGGCTCAAGTGGTAGAGTGCTAGCCTTGAGCTGAAGAACTGAGGGACAGCGCACAGGCCCAGAGTTCAGGCCCCACGACCAGACCCCCCCAAAAAAAATCTCTATTCAAATGATCTTTTCTTTAAAATTTCCTTTAAAAAGTCACCTTGTTAAACTATGTAATTTTTATCATTAAGAGTCTGACCATCTTTTTGAGAAAATATCACATGCCAAGTAATAGTCCTTTGTCATCATACAATTACTATTAAAATTTGAACCTCTTATTTTCATTGTTAATACACACTCTTTTAGATTTAAACATTTTCAAGTTCAAGTCACCTTTGAAAAGTAACCATGCTTTCATGCTCCCTCAAGTAATTCAGAATTTCAGAATATGCCATCCAGGTAATATCAATAGCAATTTGTTAAAATTTTTTATTTCTGAGTATATAGGTTGAAAAAATTATTTTCAGTTTGAGAGGATAATGGAGTGTTTCAACTATCATTTACATAAATTATTTTCTGACAAACTATCATAGAAAAGTTATCTACCAAAATATACCAATTCTAGTATTAACAAAAATAATATATATACATATATATAATCAAAATCTATTTCAAATGACATTTTTATTGCTGTACTGCTTTCAGAAGTCTGACAATAAATTACAACAAAAGTATATTTTTTGTTAAAAATATTATTTTAATTAGCTTTTTAAGACAACCTATGAAGTTAGCTCACAGTAATCTAAGAGCAAAGTCAGTCTTCAGAGCCACCATTGTGGCCTTACCTTTGCTCCGTGCTTGTGCAGAACCTCCATGACGTCATTATGAGCTCTTTCTGCTGCAACATGCAGGGGAGTCATGAAACTACGAGGAGGAGGAAAGGAGAAGGTCATTTCCTCTCCCATTTTTGGTTAATTTCCCTAAGAGAACTGAACAACTGCTAAAACTGTACTTACTCTTTATTTTTTTCATTGACATTTGCTCCTTTTCTAAGTAACAGTTCTGTTACTTGTTTCCGTTTGGGATGCAAGGAAGCCACAGCACAGTGCTATAAAGGTGGCAGAAGAACTAAGTCAATAAAACAACTTCTATGTTAAAGACTTCTGAATTAAATAGTATGTATTTTCTGCTTAGGTCACTTACCTAGAAATATCAGAACACAATTACATGTTTTACATTATGGAGGTGGATCACCATTTTCTCTAAATACACTGCAAGTAGGAAACACTAAGTCTTCACACTAAGGTGAAATTGTGTTCTTGGTTAAGCATCAGGAGAATTTGTTAGCCAGTATTTCTTTCCTTTAGCCCAATATTTAATTATTCAGCAAACAATCCACTGGAAGTGTTAGAACACTGCAAATGAACTACTCAAGCCTTCACTGGGCTATCAGTCATATAAGCCGTATTTTTCAAATCATTGCACTGATACACACCCTAAGATCAGGGCTTACATGCCCAGGGATTGGAAAGAATGTGAGTAACTTGAACAGTTTAGAGGAAAGAATATTTTTAGATTTATCTTAATATTTATACAACTTTTATATTTTGCTTTTTTATATTAGTTTTTGTATTAAAATAAAAAATGACTTATAACAACCCACTAAAATGGCCACTCCAAATGAGTTGGTCAGGTTTATTTTGTGGCTTTGAATATCTCTTTGCTTAATACTGGTAGACTGAATGTAACTGCGACTCAGTTGGACTGATATTTAGTTAAATGTAAATAGAGATGACCCATTTCAGTTTGGTGAATCTTTCTTTTTTGGTCAGTTGTGGGCCCTTGAACTCTGGACCTGGGTGCGGTCCCTCAGCTCTTTAGCTCAAGGCTAGCACTCTACCACTAGAGCCACAATACCACTTCCTGGTGAATCTTTTAATAGTATTTTCAGAAGACATTGACTGAAGTTTGACATCTATGCCACATATGTGCAAGGATATTAAATAAACTTCTTTGAACCATTGGAGATATAAAAGTAATTTTTTTTAAAAAAGTAACTGTCAAAAAAATAAAAAGAATGCTAACTGACATATAAAGGTCCAAGATAAGTATCACATACGCTTAAAGTTCTGAATTCAGAAAGGATCACTAACCAGCGATTAAGCAAATCTTTCTGAGAGCATATTACAATATATATACATATATATGTATATGTGTATATATGTATGTATGTATATAGCTATGAGGGCAATTTGTATAGCCTGGGATAGAAAATTATTTGTAACTATCATCTTTCCACACAAATACAAACAGTTATCTGAATACATTTGCTCACAAAGCTGGCAAGTATTTCTGAAAACATACTTTAATTTCCTACAGAAAACAAGTACATTATTTTATCTAATAAACATACACATAAAGAAGATTCTATCAGGAAGACTGCACTTTATATTTTATGGAAGAATTAGCCAGAAAGGCAGACTTAATACACTAAGCTTGGGTAAAAACAAAGATAAAATAATTTCCAAATCAAGGCTGAATAAATGTCTATTCTCTCATCCATGACAAGAAACATGCCCTGAACCAAATTTAAACAACGGTGCAACCAATATCAAAATGCAAATTCTTGGCATTTCAGATAATAAAGCTACTTACAGATTTTGGGAATGAAAAGCATTATTTTGTGTTTGCACTACTACTAGATCCAAGGAATGGATTAATAATAAAAGCTTACCAGTGCTGTTTCATGAGACTGTGGTTGTTTGAAATTAATGATCTCCAAAGCGAGTGTTTTTTTAACTTTGGCTAGGTCTGCTTCTCTAGCTGCTTGTAGTAAAGAATGACCTTTGAATTCATCTGTCAATGAAATAATTGACATATAATAGTTTAAAGTTCATTTAAAAAAACCTGCTGGGCATAAAAATATGCACTTAAAACCCTAGCACTTGGGACTGAGGCAGACGGGTTATAAATGTTGTATATCTAAAGTTCAGAGAGACTAAACTGGGTGATATTGTGAGATCAAGGCCAATATGGACTACAGAGACCTTGTTTCAAAAAAACAAAAAAAATTTTAAAAATGCCTACTGTGAGTAGGGAAATTATTAACTTTATATTTCCCTCTATTCTACCTAAAGCAGTAGTACAGCAATGTAAAGGATAAAGTACATTACTGAAAAGTTTTGGCATATGTATGCTCTGAAATAAGACTTCATACCTCAGAATTCATAAAGATTCACATATAAAGACATTTTTATTACAACAAAGTTTTAAAAACAGGCAACCTAGATAGTCTCCAAAAGGAAGCTAGGTAAATAATTTGTGAACACACACAAGGGAATATTTTGCAGTTCATAGATAAAACAAAATAGGATAATATATATTGACAAAATGCATACATAAAAATTCAAGTAGCAAAGAATAGGCCGGTCCATTTTTTTATGCTACTGTTATGCTTCTGCTTCTATTGTCATAACAATGCAAAACATTCAGAGATGCAGAAGACATGTAGAGAAATATTCATCAAAATGTTAATAATGGTTATGTTTTCACATAGAGAACTGAAATACATGAGAATTTCTGTAGTTTGAAAGTTTTTCAAAAAACAATTACTATTTTATTATTTTCAGACATAAATGAGACTTTAAAAAACACATCTAAATCATGTCAATAAATACTTTTTTAAACACACAGATGGTGTATGACTTAATACATTGTTTAACAGTTACAAAGGCTTGTGGTTGAATAGTACTATGCTTTTTCACATCTTTCCATTCTTCTGAGTGCTTGATTACAATCCTTCTTGTAAAAGACAGAGAAAGACATTGCCACCAACACCAGTGCACGTGTACTGCATGCTTTATTCTTTAACGATTATATTTGGAAGATATTAGATTCTCTGAATAAGCCTTCCTGACCTCCTGTATTATTGAGTTAGGGCTGCCTGTGAGGCTCATAGCAGTTGCCTTTAGCTTTAACACAGAATGCATTAACATATCAAATGTGCTACAGCACACTTTTTCCTTAACAAAGTTTGTCATGTCATAGTCTCAAGAAATATTTGTTGCACAGCTAGTATTTGTATAATAAGTTATAGCAAGTTAGGAAAAGGATGATTTTTCTATAATTCTTATTCAATGGCTCTTTATCACTGCTAAATTCCTCAAAGTACATGACTTGGGGCAAAAAAAATAAGGAAATTTAAATGCAATGGATTTCAGTTAATAATGCATCAATATTGATTGATTAGTTGCTGCAAATGTACCATACTAATGCAACATGTTCATAATATAGAAGAACTGTATGTGGGGTATATGTAAACTCTCTCTACTAGCTTCCTAAATGTTGTATATCTAAAGCAAAATATTTATTTAAATACCTATTTATAAATGTATAGGCAATATGAATCAGTAACTGTGAAAATTATTTCCATGAGATCATCTCATTTAAATCTAGCTATGTGATTATACTTGGGAAATAGCATTCAATAAAAAAAACTATGATTGCACAACTTCGCAAGGCTTGGGAAATAATGAGCGCTCAGTGTTAGGAAGCATCTATTATCAGTGGCACAAAAAGATAAGCTCTCTAAGTTCTGAGATCTGAGCTCTGACTTGTCCACTGCTATATTCCTAGTGTCTGTCACATAGTTAACAACTATAAATGGTTGTTGGTGACTCATCTTCATCAGCCTAAAAGAAACAAAAAGTAGCCTCAATGTATGAATTAGAATTCATTTTGAGTAAACGTAGAGTATATATAGTATGGATATTTAAAGTTCTTGGAATTCATGAAGAAGAGTGTATGATTAGAAATAAGGATTATAAATCAATCCTAATAACTAAACAATGATACTCCAAATTTATAGCTAGATACTGTTCTTAGCATAGTAATACATACAAGTCAATCTCTCCCGGAGCTCAGGAGTTGGAGCCATATCCACAGCACTTTTGCCATGACAGTTGACTAATGTAGGGTCAGCACCATGGCTAAGTAACAGAGAGCAGACTTCTACACGATTTTTGGAAGCAGCCTCATGCAGAGGAGTAAACTGCCAGAGATCCATAGCATTAACACACGCTCCATGCTGAATTGAGGAACAAAGTTTTATGTTAGCAATCATTTCAAAGGATTAAATTAAACTTATAAAACATTTATTTCATTGGAAATTTCTGTTATAACTTTTTGAAATATGATTGTTTACAATAACAATTTAAGTCAACTAAGTGTTTAAAAATTCTTAAGCAATAAAAATACTCTCAACAACCCTCTCTTGCAAAAATCTTATTGGTCAAAATACGGAGGAACAAGTTAAAGAAAAAAGCAAATAGCCAAGTGCTGGCGGCTCACACCTTTAATACAGGTTACTCAGGAAGCTGGGATCTGAGGATCATGGTTTGAAGCCAGTCTGAACAGGAAAAGTCCATGCTATTTTCATCTCCAATTAACCACCAAAAAGCTAGAAAAGGACTATAGCTCAAGTGGTAGAGTGCCAGAGTTGAGCAAATGAGTTCAAGCCCCAATACCACCTCCAAAAAAGAAGCAAATGATACCCCAAATTTTTAATCTCTCTCACCTTTAGTAGCAGTTCTGTGACTTCATAATGTCCATATGAACACGCATTATGAAGAGGCACAAGCCCACTAAATGAAAAGAGGCACATTAAAATGTCAAACATTTATTTGTGAAGTGCTAAAACAAAAAAAGTGAATAAATTCAAGCATCATTATATAAAACCCTCTAAGTACTTAATAAAATAATTCAGAGTATAGCTATGTTCATAATTTCCTTCATTGCTCTTATATATTTTGTATAGTCCTTACAAATGATGGTAAATACCGATTAGAAGAATGGTGACATAAGAGGAAGATCATGTGACAATAATTGCATGCTTTATTTATCAATTATGTTCAGGAAATGTTAGTTGGCAATGAACAGAAATATTCCTACAATTTGAATTTACTTTCATGGCAATTTCCAGTATAAGAATTAAATATCCAAACTACTATAACTCAAATATCAAAAGTATTCTAAATGAGTAATGAAAAACAACAACCCTTTTCTGTGGTATATTTCTCTTGATGACTCACCTATTGTACACTCATCTGTTTTCAGATATGTATAAAGAAACAGGATGGATAAGAGCACCAGGCATTTTTGCCCCTATTCTCATTAAATACTGTTCACATATGGCACTAAACCCAGCAAAGGCAAAGGAGAAACAGCACAGAAAAGAGCAGATTTGAAATGGATGGATTCCCCTTCTCATAACTGTCTCAAGTACTGAGTTAATTTCTATGCTTCCTGATATCAAAGTAGCAGGGAGGGGGGCATCTCTTCTTTAAGCTGTCAGTCACCGGAGTGTGATATAATCTATCTCAACTGGGTAGTCAACTGTCTTAGATTTTTAAGAAAAGATAGCAAACTCAGTATCTATATTCCTGGATTCTAGGCAGAAAAGTAGAATGTTTCCCCAAATTCACCCATTCATACATAAAATAAATGACAGAACCGTTTTGTTGTTGTTTTCTGTTTTTTATCCATTTCCCTCTTACTAACTTATTTTCTTAGTTTAGATGTCTAACATTTCTTTAGAGGAAAAAGACTCATAGAATTAAGAGTATTGTCTATTTGGTATATTGATCTTCTAATACCTTTAGGAGTATGATAACTATGCTACAAGACTATCCCAATATTCAATCTGTTTACTGAAATATAAATTAAGAGCTGAAAATTGATTACCATTGAGAAAAACTGTCTATAGAGGTTAAACTTTGTAGAGTATCAAAAGATGAAAACAAAGTACTCCATAATGAAACCATTAACAAGAAACAAATGGGACACCTACCCTTTGTCTTTGGCATGTACATCCGCGCCATGCTGAAGGAGCAGCTGAACTATCCTTACTCTGTTGTATCCTGCTGCTAGATGTAAAGGAGTAGACTGGAAAAGAGAAAGAACAACACATCTTTTATTCAGGTAAAAAAAATTCTGACTTTGTTATTTAATCTGTATGTATAGATAGTTAAACAACACAGCAAAAGTTAACATAAAAAATACTGGGCTGAAATGCCTCACATTAACATTTCATAACCAGATGAGATCATTTACTCCTGGAAAGGGAATAGCCATCTGCTATGGATTGAAAATGCTTTGTCCTCACTAAAATTCATGTTGAGTCTTGGTGCCTAGCCTACCAATGTCCAGAAATACTGGGATCTTTCAGAGATTAATGGGTTTCTCATGGGAGTGAGATATCATTACAGAAGAACTAAACTATTGGTTATTACAAGAGTAGGCTATTATACAAGTTTGGCTTATCATCCTCTTTTGCTTCCTTTTTCTTCCTGTGATCTCTCCTTCCCTCCATCTCACAAAATACACAGTACCATAGGATGCTATCCACCTTTTGTGGTGAAGCAGCCAAGTGGCCCTTGTTAGATGCTGGTACCATGCCATCAGTATCTTCCAGTCACAAGATTGGTGAGTCAAATATACTTCTTTTCTTTATGTGGTATCCAATGGACTAACACATCATCATCTACTTCCTTTACTGCTCAAGGCCTTCAGTAAGCAAGCTCTATTCTGCCAATCTTGAATTACTTATTTCTTTCTAACACAAACCATTCTTGTTCTGAGAGTCATTCAAGGGACTATCTTCCTTATAACTGGAAACATGCTACAGGAAAGATTGAAAAGCATCTCTAACAAATGTTTTGAAAAAATTTTAGTTGAAACTAAAAGGACAATATACTTCATTCATTTTATACAGCTTCTAGCTATGAGTGAATCAGTACTAATTTGCTACAATATATCCAAATGAAATATGCCAATATAGTATTTAATCTTCCATTTTATGTCTCACATATACAATATAAATAAATCGAAGTTTTTTCTAAACCACATTTGCCATATTTTAATTTGAAACAAGTTATTAAAAGGCTCTCTGCTAAAATTTAACATAGTAATTAAAATAATCAAACTCCTCACTTTTAAGTCAGAAACAATTTTAATTAAAAACTTTTCTGTAACCATAGCAACTTTCCATCTTTGCTCATTTAAAGCTTAAATATTTTACCAGTTTTATACACAGGCTCTAATATACTTTAATGTACTTTCATTTTTTACTGTCTTCTATTTGGCCTTGGAATTTCATAAGAGTTTCAATTTATTTTATTCATCTATTCCAAATGTTAAAATACAAATAATTACTATGTACTGTACCATCCATTATTGTTTTCAAGGTACTACATATATTATATATTCTGATCATCACTAAGTTGAGAAAACAGTCTGAATTCACAGCTTTTTTGAAACAGTATTTTTATTATCTTTAAGTAGTTGTAGAAAGGAGTTACCATTCAACAAAACAGTTTATAAGTATAATGCACCTTGAATGGTATCACCCCCTTTCAACATTCTTCCCTATCCTTTCCAACCTAACTCTTCCTCTTAGCTTCCTTAATTTCATAGGATATGCACTGAACATTATGACCGCATTCCCCTTTCCTCTCTTCATTCACCCCTCACACATCTCCAGGGCCCTCCCCACCTTTCTAGTGCCAGTTTCCTGGCGTTCATTTTGTTGTATTGGAAGTTAGTTTTCTACAGAATTACATTATGCGAATTCTCCCTTGCAAATATCATACTTTGGTGTATACTTGCATACATCCCCATATATGTTTACTTGTACATTTATAAATTAGTTCTAGCTTCCACATATGAGGGGGGGAAAAACACATGTTCTTTGTCTGTCTTGGCTTGACTTAATTTTTTTTTTCTATGAGCATGTATATTTTTCCTCTTTGAGTTCTTTTTGTTGCTATCTTCTTTGTCACACAGATAGGATCATATTACATTGGCTTTTTTTCTCCTTAAATGTTATTACATAGAAGTCTTATTCTTTGTAATGGCTGTACAATGTTTCCATTGTGTGGCTGCACCATCGTTATTTGCCCATTGCCTATAAATGGTTATTTAAGTATTCCCATTTTGCCCTATTTTATCAAAATGTGTCTCATTAGAAATCTATTATTTGATTAAAATAGATCAGTATTTCCCTTCTACAAATATAATACTATTTTTGTCATTAACACAAAATTCCTATGGAAATAAATAAACAACATATTCAGACCTTTATTAAATTCCCACCATAATTAATCTGTCAAGAAGAAAAGAGCCAAGAAGCTCTTTTGAGACAATGTAGCTAAGACCAGAATCTAAAGAAATTAAAATCTAGAGAATCAATATAGGCATGAATTCATGGTAATAAATATACCTCTTTGCTGATACCTGTCTTTGAAGAGGTATTTCAATAGTACAGATAGCATTCCTTGAAATTTCTTAATTCCAAGACTATTACAAACAGCATTACAAAGTGCATAACACACGTAACTTGTTTACACAGCAACTACTTTCGAGGCAAACTACTGATTTTGCAGGGAAATGAAGGAATTGAAGAACAGGATGCTAATCATTAGGGATCAAGTACACACACTCTGACTTCAGAACCCTTATTTGGGCTTCCTCCTTTTCCTTCAGAAATGGATTAGAATGGCTGAATGGCATAAAGTATTAGTATTTGCAAACAGGGATCTTTTGATTCTGAATGTTTCAGCATTCTAATCCATAGGGTACCACACATAAATACTAACAGTATGGTCAGATCTTTAGAAACTGTTGGATTCCTCAATAGAAACTACCTAAAAATAATAAGTACAGCAGGACAAGGAGGAATCTTAAAATTGAAATTGGAGCTGAATCAATCCCATTTAAGAATGTTTCTATGGGAGGGCAGGGAGGATTGGGTGGGAAAGGGGGGGGGGGGGAGAATGGGAAGGGATAGGAAGAGGAAACAAAGGAGGGGGCTACAATGCTTGATAAGAAATGTAATCATTATCTTGCCCATGTAATTGTAACCCCTCTGTATAGTATTTTCACAATTAAAAAAAAAAAAGAATGTTTCTATGTATCACTAAAAGATAGTCAATGTGGTTTCTTCTTGAACTAATCCCCTTCAGCAACTTCACCTGCTACTTGCAGACTTCTTACCTGACTACCTTCCTATTTACCTTGTAGTTGGGCAATATTCATTCTTAAAGTGTGACACCCTAAACAAGGCACTAAATCAAAATAGAAACTGATCTAAACCAATGAATGACCTCTCTTAAGTCTCAGTTATTCATAGTGAATGCTTTAACACGTCTTGGGAGGCTGCACTATACTGTTTACAGCTTCTTCCAAATAAGATTCTATGAATTCTAGATATATTTTGTGAGTAGACAGGGATAATAATTGATATATTATAGTCTCCAGATGTTTTTCCAAAGACATACTCATCTTCAGGAGGAAATTTCAGGTTTTTGAAAGGTTACAGAAGGCTATAAAACAAGCATTCCATTATTTCAAATGGAAAAATGTGTTTGTTGTTGTTGTTGTTGTAGGTCACAGGGCTTGAACTCAGGGCTTGGGCACTGTCCCTCAGCTCTTCAGCTCAAGGTGAATGCTCTACTGCTTGAGCCACAGCGCCACTTCTGGTTTTCTAGTACCTTATGGGAGATGAGTCTCACGGACTTTCCTGCCTGGGCTGGCTTTGAACCGTGATCCTCAGATCTCAGCCTCCTGAGTAGCTAGGATTACAGGCGTGAGCCACCGGCTCTCGGCATTAAATGTACATTTGTTTTTTGGTTTTTTTTTTTTGGTCAGTCATGGGGCTTGAACTCTGGGTCTGGGCGCTGTCCCTCAGCTCTTCAGCTCAAGGCGAGTGCTCTACCACTTGAGCCACAGCGCCACTGGAAAAAAATGTATTTTTAAGTAAGAATATAAAGAATTTTCTTTATTTTAAGTGTACATATTAGGAAGAAAAAAAAAGAAAAAAGCAATGAAAAACAAAAGAACAGGAATCTCAAAGGATAATCTTTGTTAGAAAAGAATTCTGAATGCCAACTTAATTCAATTTTAACTTAACATTATCACTGTGGAAACTCCAAGGGGATTCTCCAGCAGCTAGCAATTTGCATTTCTCTTTTCCAGTCTCAGCTTTCCAGAATCAGCAAAAGAACTAAAGTGTATGAATGGAAATGAGTGTCTAGTGTACTACTTTCACAGAGGTCCTATGAGGGTGAGGGAGCTTGCTACTCTCAAGGTGCAATGTTAGTTTTTTGGTGTTTAAATGAGACACAGCTGTTTAGGGAAACAAGATTTCTTGGTCTGATGGTAACCTATTTCACAGCTTGAAAAAAATGTTCACATCTTTCTATAATCAGTATTTGCAATCTTAGGTTTTCATAGGCAAGTTTCAAAGATTCTAAGTAACATACAATAAATAGATGATTTGTCCCTGAAAGAGGAAACAAGTTGTTTGTACTAACTGGAACTTAAAGATTACATAGGAAGGAAACATTCTATAGTAGAGTAGGTAGATCATCACTAAGTAGACTTTTAATGTAAACTAGGAGATTGGAAAATTCCTTTAATTCATCTGAGTGTAGTTGAGACCTCTAGGACTTTGGAAACAGACAAATCTAGGTTCCTTCACAGTCCTTGATAAAGTCCTTGTTGTTTCTAGATTTACACATATGAAAGCAGAAGCCAAAGGATGCCAGAACAGAGCTAATTCTATTTCCTGCCCACAGCCTTCTTTTCAATTCTAACAAGGTATTCAACCTTCTTTGAAAACAGGAGATTATTTTAATGCAAGTATTGATGGCACTCAAGAGTTAAGCATTATATTACTTCTAAAAATTAAAGCATCTTTACAAAAGAAAAATTAAAATGTGAAGGACTATACATTTACAATTAGTCTCCTAAATTTACTAGTTTGGCTAGTAAAATATGCTCTTCAAAGTGACTATACATGTTATTTATAGTATGTTTTACAAGTTTACTACTGATGCCATTCTTTTTTTTTTTTTGGGGGGGGGGGGGGAGGTCTGGTCATGGGG